TTTAAATCCAAACAACAGCCTTCATTCTCTAAGAAGTGGTCCTCCCTCCATCAGTCTACCTGGTAGAACACACTCATACAATGAAACATAGAAAATGTCTCTGTAAGTCAACATTTTCCAGCAATTCTCACAAGAACAGAGAGTAAATTCTGGATAGCAAGTTTCTAGCTAAGTAAGTTTCCAAGCAGCTGTAATCAAACCCCCTGAAAAGCAGCTTCGTATTAATGGATGTAACCGGTGTATCTGGACTAATAGGCAAAAACAGGGAAGTCAAACACATTTGCGGCAACCATGTGCAAAATTAATCTAATGCCTTTTATAGTTAACAGAACATGGTGCTTTTCCAAGACTTCTTGACTGGGGGCCGGGGGGGTGGGAGAGTCCAAAAAAACTACAAATTTGGATGTTGAGGGCGGCACACAGAGGAAGTGGGCTGAGGTTGGGACAATAGCTGGTTGCTGTCCAGATTTCCACAAACAGAACAGCTCTCAGCTGAGCTCATCACTTAACCTTTGTAAGCCAGGCTTCCTTAACAGTAAGACTTGAAGCATCCTCTCAAAACTCTAACAATGTCTCTTCTGTGGGGGCATTTCTACCTTCTCACCTTCCACAATGACAGTATCCCCATTTCTGAATGGAACTTACCGGGAGAAACCCAACCTTTGTCACGCTGTTAAGTGTTGGGTACTACGTGGGGATTCAGATCAGGGCCAGGATAGTCAGATTTTATGACCCACAATTGACATATACGGAAAGCACCTATCTCTCCACTAAGTGAGGCCCATTGTGGTTTGGGATAGGGTGTTCTCCCTGTTTCCCCAGGTGCTCAAGAACCACTGACCTTGCCCGAGATCATGCGGCTGGTAAGGATTTAAACCTAGATCCTCCCACCTCCAGAACCGAGCTCTGGCCCACAGGACCACGAAGTGCATTCCTCTTCAGGCTAGAAATAGGTCTGGATCATTCTAGACAGCCATTCCTGGTTTTAAAAAGCCAAGAGTGCCCAGAGTGTAGGGAAGATGAACATGACTGACGCCCTTCGGGACCTCACTCAGCGGTTTTCGTGATTACTGAGTATCATTCAGCGGGTGGAGGGGAATGTACCTCCAGAACTTTTCTACCCTCTTCCAGAAGTCAGTGGAAGTTACTCAGATGTGCATAGGTATTTCCCTTTGAACTCTGTCACCATTGTTTATGACAGTAAAGAGAAACCAAGTGCTTGTTACCATTTAGCACAGCACCGAATTCAGTGACAACTGGGCCTCTTTGGTTGGGGGAAAGCACAGGACCACTCCCAAACTAAGATGAGAGGTCACCTCCTTAGAGCCGTGAGGGACCTCTGTGAGCTGCCCCAGCTGGTGATTTTTACAGCCCCTTGCAGGGCCTCTAAGGGTTCTGACCTTCCTTCTCTCAGCCTTTATTCTGTTTAACCAGTGACACCCAGAACTTGGTTCTTCTGCAAGCCGCAGAGTGATACAGAAAAGGCTGAGGCTTTGACATGGTTTCGCAGTTTCATGAAGGAGCTCTGTGAAACCAGCCAGCTTGGAGGGCTGAGGGGGCTGAGGTCCCCTAGAAGAGAGGCCACCTCCGCTGCAAGGGCCCTCCCCATCCTCAGTCCCTCTCTCCTGGCCAGCCCACCCCACCCTGTCCAGTGGCCCAGTGGCCCCTACCTGCCGCTTGCACCGTTGTCATGGCTAGCTTCAGGGGGCTGCCCCTGGGCACAGAGAGGGAGCCTGAGGACGGGGCTGGGAACAGCCCCCTTATGCTCCAGCAGAAGACAGGCAGTGGCTGACATGAAGGAGTGATGGAGGAGAAGGCCCCGGGGGAGGAGCCATCGCGGGGCAGGGAGGCCCAGGAGGAACCAGGCAGAGGACAGAACACAGCCTCACAATCCTTCCCTGTTCCAAGATTCTCAGGTTCCGAGCATGAAGTCCCACCACTAGGTACCACCCACAGGACTTTGCCTCTGGCAGTTAAGACAAGCCCATTTAAGATCATTGCCAAGGGCATTCTTGATTAAATCCATGACTTACGAGAAGTAGGAACTGTAGAGCTATCCAAGTAAAGACAAAATGTAACTGGCACCAAAGACAAAGGCCTATGTCCCATTTTGTCCTGTGTCCCTGTGTCCTGTGCACCTGTCAGTAGGGACAGGTGCAGCAGGGGATTGTAGCCTGCACCATGAGGTGAGAACGGCCCCCTGAATTCCAGGAACCAAGCACCCTTCGAAACCATCATTCATTCATTTCTGTGGGTCATTTCCCTGACCTTCCTCAGTCGAGTTCCTTCTGGGGTTCCAAGGTAGACCTAAGATAAAGGAAAACTACTCTACGCCTCCACCAGGAGAAAGCAGGTACCCAGAAGCTGTGCGTAAAGCTGGTGTCAGGATCCAGAAGAGCAAGGGCTGCTGGGAAAGGCCCCACAGGGCCCACTCTGTCCATGGTGGGTCCTGTGTTCACTGGTCACCAGCACTTCAGCCTGAGTACTGTGGGCCGAAGGCTGGAATGGTGTGAAATGTGGACCGGCTCTGCACTGCACACCGCACACCATGCTGCCTGCGAATCCGTTTTTCAAACCTGAGCTCTTATCTGAGGATCACATCATTACAGTGAACAAAACCAAGTAGTGGAGAACAATCTGTGGTTGGCGGTGCTATCCATAACACAACCCTCGGCCCTCTTTAGCTTCAGAGAAGCCCCCCACAGTGAAAACACATCCTCCACCCACATGCCTACACACTGGAACCAAGACCTATACCGCCTGTCCTTTTTAAGAAACCCCCTGAATAGCCCGAGATGTAACTGTGAGGTCTTTCTTTTAGAGGTGACGGAGCCTTCTTGCCCATCTCAGGGCTAGTGGCCTTTGTCACCTGGCTTTCGTCACCTCCAGGCCTCCAGAGGGGGTCCCAGCCCCTAGTCCCTCGGGGCATCCCTCCCACCAAGCCTGGGAAGAATCACCCTTCAGAGCCACCGCACTCAACCACGCCAAACAGCTCCTTGCTTAAACCCAGCAACGGTTCCCCAGTGCCTGCAGCACAAAACCCCAGCACTATGGCGTATCGTCCAAGAGCTATGGCGCCGTGAGCAGCACGCTCTACATGGCTTAGTCCTTCCCTCCTCCTCGGGGCTTTCCACGTCACTCACTTGGCATCTTTTCCTGGGACCCGAGTTGATTGGTCCTGCTTCCCACGCAGAGAGTCCGAGAGGTAGGGCGGGCCACCCTGCGGGTTTCTGATTAAGCACACGGCCTCCAGGAGATCAAGCTGTCCAGATTCCAGGCCTCCATTTCCTTGACCTACTGACATGGAGCCCACCTAGGCTTCAGTTTCCTTACCCGTCAAATGGGGTAAGAATTGTAGCAACCACATCGGATTTTTGTGAGAGGTGAATGCGTTTGTGTGGGGGGTGGAGGGCACTGAGTGTCAGGCAGTGGTGCATGGTCTCTGTCTCCGAGCACTGGGTGCTGCCCGGAATCTTGTACAGGAATCTGCACATCAAACACCGACATCAGGTAAAGAAGGACAGTCCCTCTGCACCCATACGTATCACAGTAAAGTTTAGAGCAGATCTCTTCATCCTTTCCCAGGGGTTCCATGCATGTGTGATTTCCCAGAGCTGACTTCTCCCCTTGTGGACAGTCTACGTTTTGTTGTACAATTTGCTTTTTCTTCTCACTTGAAGATCTTTGCACCTCCATGGAGATGCCCAGGCCCTTTGTCCTCTTACTACAATAGAAGAGATGTCCCTGTTTGTTGGAAGGCCAGGCCCCCACTGAAATTCCGGAACCCAGATTCTTCCCGAGCTGACTAGGTTCCTAACTGTCCCAGAGCATCAAGCATGAAGAGGACACCCACATTCCCTATACTTTTTTAACGCTCAGTGTAAGCTCTTATGAACCAAATTGTACAAATCTTTCTTTTTACATCTAAAACCCAACTAAAGTAATTGTCTCCAACAACTTAACCTGTAGTTATAAATATGGCATGGTTAACTACTGCAAACACCACAGACAGCACAGAAGGCATAGACTAATTTCCTAGGCTAAATATCAACATCATCTTCAAAATTTCTTTTACTTTTTAAAAAACCTATCATTCTAGGATTATAGCTATATTTATTTTTATATTTTTCCAGGGCTAAAGGCCCCAAACAAAAAGAATACCATCTCTAAGCAGCTGAATTAAAGCATTTTGGTTACAGATGGATTCTTGGCGAGGGCTGGATCTAGGCCATCAGACTAAAGTTGCTTTTTAGAAATGCCATTTCCTGCATTGGTCAGATCTAGAAAACCCACACCTTTCACACAGGTTTTAGTTCTTTGCAACCTTATGTCTCCCCTAAAATTATGTTGTTTTTTTAAGATTTTAAGTAATCTCTATACCCAATGTGGGGTTCAAACTTACAACCCTGAGATCAAGAGTCACATGCTCGGGGCAACTGGGTGGCACCGTCGGTTAAGCATCTGACTCCTAATTTCAGCTCAGGTTATGATCTCTGGGTTATGGGACTGGGCCCCGCATCGGACTCTGAGCTCAGTGGGGAGTCTGCTTGGGATTCTCTCCCTCTCCCTCTGCCGCTCTTGACCTAGCTCCCTACTCCCCTTACCGCTCAAGTCACCTCCCACCCCGCACGCACATGCACTTTCTCTCTAGAACAGTCGCATGCTTTACTGACTGAGTCAGCCACACACCCCAAAAATGATACATTTTTAAAATCTTGCCGGATGGTATTCCAAAACCCACCTCTGGGTTTTTATGATTGATTAACCTAGTCCTGTCATGACAAAACAGTGACTTCACCTGTCAGCGTTACTAAACGTTTATGTTTGCCTTATTAGCATTGTTTTAAGTGTTTTTTTTTAAAAGATTTTATTTATTTGAGAGAGTGAACAAGAGCAAGAGAGCATAAGCAGGGGGAGGGGCAGAGGGAGAGGGAGAAGCAGGCTCCCTGCTGAGCAGGGAGCAGGACACGGGGCTTAGTCCTGGATCAGGACCTGAGCTGAAGGCAGGCACTTAACCAGCGAAGCCACTCACACACCCTGCCTTATTAGCATTGCACAAAAATTAGAAAGGCCTCTAGAAATTTTATCATCCAGAAATGAAGGATTGAATCTTCATGGTGCTGTCTTCCTTTGACACTTGGGTGAATGACATTATTACCTACCTGGGAATGCGTGGTGAAGCCCGTTCATTACCCGGCTTTTGTGTGTGAGCACTGGGGCAGGCACCTGCCCGTTCTCAGGAATAATCACCAGCACTGACTGGTCCTGCTTTTTCTGGGGTCACTGGCTTTGTTCCTTGGTCCCTTGCATTTAGCTATTTCTACTTACACTGACAAAAAAAAGTACAAGGCACTGCTTTATCATTGGGGGAAATCAACATGCACACATATATTTCTTTCTTTTTTTTTTTCCACACATATATTTCTAAGTGTGTATACCTACATTAGAAATCTCTTACTGTATTCATTTTCTAAGCTACACAACAAAGTACCCCGTATTTAGCAACTTAAAACAATGTCCATTTCTCATCTCACAGTGTCTGTTGGTCAGGAGTCTGGGCACAGCCTTGCTAGGTCTTCTGCTCAGGGTCTCTCAAGCCTGCAGCCAACATGTCGTCAGGCTATGTCTCCACTTGGAAGTGTGAGTGGGGAAGAATTCACTGCCGGGCTCATTTGACTGTTGGCTGGATTCGTTTCCTTGCAGTTGACTGCTGAGGGCCCCAGCTTCTTACCGGTTGTTGGTCGCCCTCAGATTCTAAAGGCTGCCTGAGTTCCCCCGCCACGCGGCCCTCCCCAGAGGCCGTTTACAACATGGCTGTTTGTTTCTGCAAGGCCCGCAGGAGACAGTGTCTAGCCTCAGGAAAGCCCAAGTCCCGCTTAAGAGGGCCTTTATCTAATTAAGCCAAGCTTACCCAGGATCATCTCCCTTCTAATTAACTCAAAATCTACCGATTTGGGACCTTAATTACATCTGCCAAATCCCTGCATCTCTGCAGGATTCTACTAGCTAGAGGAAAGCCACAGGCCAGCCCGCATCAAAGGAAGGGACAACAGAGGGGGCAGAGATCATGGGGACACTCTGGGGTCTGTGTCCACGCCTACTTAGTGAAAGCAGTGACGTTAAACAATCTCTTACAGCTACGCTTGTGCACACTTGGGAACGTGTCCCTTGGGCTTCGTTACGAATGCACGGCTCTGCCCTAACCCCAGCCGCCCTCTCCCTCCAGGCTCTCTGAGCTCACTGTTACTCAGTCTCCTGTCTCCCCAGCTCCAGCCACCCTGCCTCCCTGGTGGTCCTGGGCTGTTGCACTTGACATTCCCACTATGCACTGCACTCGTGTCCTCACTCCTTTATTCAGGCCCCTGCTAAGATGTAGGTCCATCAGAGAAATCCTAAAACTGTGCAGGGGCAGATTAGTGATGAAGAACACAGGCTTTGAGGCCACACGCCTGAAGGCTGAATCCCAGCTGCCTCTGGGCAGGGTGACCTCCCCACGTCCCAGAGTCATTCTTGGTCAAGTAAGGACAACAGTCTGGGCCCTTAGAATGGCCTGGCTCATACACCTAATTGTCCACCTCCCTCCTTTCCACCTGGGCTGAGAGTGGACTCCTGCGTGGTTTCAGGGCCGGCCTGCCTGCCTTCTTGGCTGTCCAGACACCCTGGTCAGGGATCCCACCATGCTCCCTTCCCTGGTCCTTTTTGGTTTCTGGAGAAACTTCCTTTATAAACTTCTTTCAATTTCATTTCTTTTGGAGCAGGAGATGTATTGGCTGCCTATGGAGGCCTCTCCATATCTAAATCAAATTCATTCTCGCTCCGATTTCTCCAAATCACTTCCACTACCTATCCCACCTCCAACCACTCTCCAGTATTTACTAAGTACTTACAATGCCTAAAGAACTATACCAGGTAGTGAAGTAGCTTGTCAAACCACCCCGAAGTTCACGTTCCTAAAGCTTCCTTTGATGATCTTCATCATTTAGGGATATAGTGACAATAACTGCAAAATACAAATTGGGAAAAGATCACAGAGCACTTCACCCTTAAAACACACACTTGGAAATACAATGGGGGACTAGAAAGAGGAATTCAGGAATTCTATAATAAGACCTAATGTTAAGGGCAGTAGTAATATACACCTGACTTTTTTTTTTTTTTTTTTTACATTAATGGATTGATTTTAGAGATAGCATGAGCAGGGGAAGAAGCAGAGGGAGAGGTCCAAGAAGACTCCATGCTTAGTGCAGAGCCCAACATGGGGCTTGATCCCATGAACTTGAGATCATAACCTGAGCAGAAACCAAGAGCCAGACGCTCAACCAGCTGAGTCAAGCAGATGCCCCCAGCTGTTTTAAGAGATTAGACTACAGGCTCTTTCGAGCAGGAGCCTGGAGTATTTAATTTTGTACCTGCACCCACTGTCCTTGGCCTGCTGTTGACTGGCTTGAAAGTAACTCAAGAGCTGCTGTTGGGACTGATTCTTGTGTGAGTGACCTCAGCAGGTTCCCTGCGGCCCTAGCGACTGCACATATGACACCAGCAACTACACAAGTGGGTGAGGACACCACCACTGGTGACTGGGGTTTGCTACCCATCTCACCCCCAGGTCCAAAGCAACTCAGAAGGAATAGTGGAAATTGGGTGTCGTCCAGGGCACCGGTCCCAGCCCTGCCACTGCCTGGCTCTACAGGGAAAATGGATATGACCATTTCTAACCATTCAGTGTGTGAACTACCTTCTGTTGCCTAGAAGATCTGGGAATCTTGGTAGGGCCCCTAAAAGGTGAGATCCTTGCTCCCTCAAACCCCAAGTCCCTCAGACATAGGCAAAGCAGTTGATGTTGGCCAACTGGATACTTGAGCCTGGGACTTTGGGTCCGCAGTGAGGGGCTGAGAGAACGGACAGATTGGAATGTGTGCCGCCGGTGGTGGGTCCAGAGCGGAGTGGGGGCCATGGCACCGGAGCAACACCCAACAGCGCCAATGCCTGCACCCTGGCGAGGCTGGCGCTGTGGCAAGAAGGGCACGGCGATGGTGGCTCTCGGGGCCCGCATTCCTGCTTGTTTGCTGAACATGGTTTTCCAGCCCGCTGTCGATGCTGTGAGTTACACAATTCCCACTGCCATGGATACCCTTCCACCTTTCAGTCTGCAACCCCCCAAATTTGAAAATTAGCGGTGTGAACACTAGCAAATTACTTTTTCCTTGTGCTGTCAGATGGGGCTGGTGACAGCTACTGGGACTGTCCCAATATAGACAGTGCTCTTCTTTCCCCTGGGAAGCTCCCAGAAAAGATGTGGCTGAGGTGGGCTCAACTTTTTAAGAATAAAAATGAAATGGATGTCAATTTGTAGCATTTATTAACTTGGTTTTATGTATATATTTCAAATCAGAGATACACGTATAAAATGTTTAGAAAATGTTTTTTCACTCTTACTTTTCTGGAAATGCTTCAAACATCTCCTCGTGTCACTGTCACCATGGTGTCACTATCATGCCAGCGTTCTCCTGTGCCCTCAGATTTCTATCATTTTTTCTTTTCTCGGGGTTGTTTGAGTTACAAAATTCTTGAAAATCCTGTGTGATGCTGTCACTGGCAAGTTAATCTCATTCATGTAAAACTAGGACTGTTGCTTTCACCATGTGTCCTTTGGGAAAAAAACCTTTTAATTTAATTAATTATTTTAAATGCTCAGGGTTTTCTGGATTTTTTCTTGAGAGAGAGAGAGAGAGAACATGAGAGGGGCAGAGAAGCAAAGTGAGAGGGAGAAGCAGACTCCCCACTGAGCAGGGAGGCGGAGCCTGCCCTGAGGAGGGGGCTCAATCCCAGGACCCTGGGGCCACAACCCAGGCTGAAGGCAGACGCTTAAGCAACTGAGCCATCCAGGCACCCCAAAACGAAACCTTTTTAAATTATAAAATATAATAGAAAAGACTGAGACATAAATATTGTGAATTATCATAAAGCAGAACTTATATAATCACTGCCCAGGTGAAGAACTAAAATACTGGCAGCAATCCCAAAGCCTCAGTATGTCCCTTTGGTCCTCCAAAGGCATCACATCCTAGTTTTTATGGTAATGTTATGGTAACCATTTACTTATCTTTATATTTTTACCATAAACATATGTCGGCAAACATAATTCTTGCCTATTTTTGAACTTTGCATATAAAAGGGGCCATATGTACTCCTTTAGGATAGCTTTTTTTCTACTCACCATATGTTCTAGGTTCATCCATGTTATTGCATCTAGTTGTACTTCATTTTTGTTTACCAATAATATTTCCTGTATGACTACATCACATTTGTTCATACATTCCACTACCGACGGACACTTGGAGCTATTAGAAACTGCTGCTAAGAACGTTCTCACATGTGCTCCTGGTGTTTCTATTAGTAAAGGCACTGCTGGCCACGGGGAAGGCCTATCTTCAGCTTCACTAGATAGTATCAGACTGAATTCCCCAGTGAGAGCACCCATTTGCACTTTCACTTGGCCTATGCGGTAGGCAACTCCTTGTGGCTTTAACTTGTATTCTGCTTACTGGTGAGGTTGAGCACTTTTTCCTGTTTATTAGCCACCTGTATTTCCTCTTTCTTCTTATGTGCCGTTCAGGTCCTTCACCTTTTTCACAATTTAAATGTTTATCTTTTTCTTACTGATTGGCAGGAGTTCTTTCTATGTTCTGGATCCTAGCCCTTTGTTGATTATGCGTGTTGCAAATATCTTCTGCTCTGTGGCTTGCCTTTTTACCCTTTTAATGGTGTCTTGATAAAGAGAAGTTTTTGATTTTAGAGTAGTTGAATGTATCCATCTCTTCCATTATAGTTGGTGCTTTATACATCTTTTTTTTTTTTGGTAGAAATCCTTCCTTACCTCAAGATCTGTGAGATATTTTTATTAGGGGGCACTGGGTGGCTCAGTTGGTTAAGTGTCTGACTCTTGATCTTGGCCCAGGTCTTCATCTCATTGTTGTGGGTTCGAGTCCCGTGTTGGGCTCCACACCAGCTGTGGAGCCTACCTTAAAAAGAAAAAATTTTAAAAAAATTAAGTTTTTTCTTGTATTATCTTCAAGAAATTTTGTTCTTTACATTTTAAATCTATAATTAGAGTAGCCATATATCTAGCTTTGTAACTCCTGTCCTGGCATCTCCTCTAGTTGGCATCTCTTCTAGTTACCATCTCCTTTCACTCTTTTGAAGTGTCTAAAAATTTCCTTAAGCGTTTCTTCTTGGAACAAGTTAGCAGCAGTGAATTCTAATTCTAGCCACAAGAGCTTACTGGTTCTTGGACAGGTATGGAGAAGCATATTAGAATGTCTCAAAAGAGCCAGCTTGGGCCTGGCTTTCATCCCTAGTGGTTGGGTGGCACCTATCCTTGATGCACTGCCTGCCTGGAAGAGATGTGGTAAGCCCAGCAGAGCTGAGGCCAGGAACTTCTTTATCAGCCACCACCCAGGGCCAATCCTACCTGTGCGGCAACCATCAGTGGAGCTCCATTTCTGTGCTGGAAAGAGAGCTGATGGGGTTTGAGATAGGAAACCTCACTCCAGAGTTGGTTAATAATAAATTTCCCTTGTGTAAATGATTATAAAATGCAATGAAAGACATTTTAAGTACAAGTGGCTTGTTTGACAAAGTATATTTCTGGAATCAAATATACAATATGTTTCTTTTACATACAACATAGACTACGGTTTGGCTTTGCACATTCTGTGTGAGTCTGCTGCCCTTAGAAGTGTCTGGGGTGTTTGGCTGACTCAGTTAGTACAGAGGGTGGATCTTGATCTCCAGGTTGTAAGTTCAAGCCCCACACTGAATGTAAAGTTACTTAAAAATTAAAAAAAAAAGAAAGAAAGAAAGAAAGAGAAAAAAAGAAAGGAAAGAAAGAAAGAAAGAAAGAAAGAAAGAAAGAAAGAAAGAAAGAAAGAAAGAAAATAGTTGTTCCAATACTGTCAGCCAGTAGTCGTCACGGGGTCTGGTGCAGAGTGATACGTACAGGAAGTGCAAAGGAAGTATTGTATGAGAAGCTTCTGACCCAAGAGATAAACAGATCTGTACACTTGCTGGTACATAAATATTAAGGACTTAAAGGCATGAGTGCCAGCTTTACGTTGCTTCCTGGAGCAGAGTTCATGTGAAGCAAATTAACCTGAGTTTTCTTTGTCTACTCCTGACCCATGTACTTTACCACTGACCTTATCAGTTTATCCTCCTTAACCTCAAATGAACCACCTTTATACACACAATTCAAATACAACCCTACAGGTTATAGTCTTTCCTGGCTTCTAATGTAGTTCTCTACCCACCATTGGACCTTTTCAGCTCCAGTGGAAAAGGTCTCTTGGCTGATTTGAATCCCCAGCAGCACTAGGACTAACCTAATGTAAGCACTCCAAAGATGGCTGTTGAACAAACACTTGACTTGGCCATGTCTGTGTGAATTTGTAAAACTAGGCAGAGATGAGACAACTGGGATGGTTTCTAACCCCTGGCTTCCAGGTTTAGCTCATTGTTTGTTTGAGTTTTAGATTTTAGGTATTGTAGGTTTCCTCTTAGAAATGAAAACATCACTTCTTCACTTTAAGGCCCTGTTGCCTATGTGAATCAGGACATACATATACGTGAACTTTCAGTTGTCCTTTTCAATAGTTGGTTTCTTCTGCCAGAGATGGTGGAAATATCACATTTTTAACTGCTTCATCTAGCATCTGAGTAACTGTACAGTGTGGATTATCAGGAGTGAGTCACTATTGACTGAGCAGTGAGAAGGCGTACGTAGCTGAAGTCCAGGAGCAAGGCTGTTTGGGGTCCTGCCTTACCAGGTTCTCACCAGACATTTGACTCATCAGCTTTACATAAGGGTGGAATGACTGTAAACAGAATTAAAGTGAAAGTATCATGAACCACTTGTGATAAAGAGCTTACTCCTAGCAAATGAGTTTCCATAGAGAAAGGAAAAATCCAACAGTAGTCAGCAAAAAGAAATCCCATTAGAAAGACCTTAGAACAACCTTACCACATCCATTTAACACATGTGGAGCCTACTGGAAGCCATGTTAAGAAAGGGCCAAGGCAGCCATGCTTGTTGGTGGTGGAAGTGGGGGATGAAATGGACAGAGAGCGATGTGTATGGGTCAGTTCTGCTAATCTCTGCTGTATTTTGCTCAGGCTCTTCCAACATTTTTCAGTGCATGGCTTACCCAGTATATGGGGGCCTGCAGGAGGGATATTCATTCCTTTAATAAAAATCAAATACCTATTATATGTTAGGCAATCACTAAGCCTCGGAAATTCAATAGGAGTAAGAAAGTCACTCCCTGGGGCACCTGGATGGCTCAGCTGGTTAAGCGTCTGCCTCTGGCTCAGGTCATGATCCTGGAGTCCTGGGACTGAGCCCCATATCGGGCTCCCTGCTCAGCAGGAAGTCTGCTTCTCCCTCTGCCTCTCTCCCTGGCTTGTGCTCTCTCATTCTCTTTCTTTCAAATAAATAAATAAATAAATAAAATCTTTTCAAAAATCATTAAGTCACTCCCTCAAATATACTGCAGTGTGGTCAGGGATACAGATAGAAAAACAACTGTAAGACAGTATGTGGGGGGCTAGAATCAAGAACATATAAAACATGAGGACAAAATAACCCACATCTGCTTTCCTTTGGGTTTAGTAAGAGCTGACCTTTGATCTGAGACTTAAGGCTGAATGAGAACGGACAGTGGAAGGAGGATGGTAGGGCATGTGGGACAGGAGGGGCTGTGTAGAAGAAGTTTATGGGTCTGATGGGGCCGGGAGCACAGCAGCAAGTTCTGCCAAGGCTGGAGCTTAAAGGTTCACAGAAGCTGCCACAGAATTGAGGCTAACGTGGAAGGTAGACATGGTGAGGAAGAGCCAGCCAGTTGGAAAGCCTGAGCTCTCTCCTGTAGCGGACGGGCAAGTGTTGGGGAAATCCAGACCGCCCGGCCTGTCATCTTCCCAGCTATTCCTCCCTGACCCAAGTATGAGAGATGGATACAGTAATGTCCATCATCCTGAAAGCAGACCTCTATCAACCACCTGGAATGCTGCTAAACCCACTACTGCTTCTAAAACTCTTAAGACTTGATGCAAATGGCCAAGTGCCTTGTATCCAAATATGCAGAGACTATAGTAACAATACTAGTAATATGTGAGTGCTTGTAAGCGCTTTTCATATGCTTTCTCACTTCGTCCTCCCTCCAACCCAAAGACAAAGGTGGTGTTGTTTCCATTTTACTGACGAGGACACAGGCTCGGAGGTGAATGACTTGTATAGTAAGTGATGGAGTGGGGATGTGAACCTACTGTGTCTGGCCCAGAAGAGAAGTGGCAAGGAGGATAGACGAGAAACAAGAAACGAAGATTAAAACAAAAGTGCAGAAATGGGAACAAGCTATGGTGAGGGCATAAAAATGCAGGCCTCCTGACAACTGAAGAGAGTCGTCAGCTTTGCAAAGACTGAAAGGACTGGGGTTGGAGGTGGTGGCAGAGGGAGGACTGTGGGTCCCCAGAAGTTCCACTGCATCAGACTCTGAGTCTGACAGGGAAACTGGTATTAAATTCCATCACAGCACAGGAGCTCTGCAAGGCCACAGAGCACTTCTAACTCAACACTTCTTTTAACGTGGACACTGAGGCCAGATAGGAGAAATGGCTACAAACTGTCACCGACAGAACAGTGTACAGGTCCCTCTACCTCCAGACTAATGCTTCTGCCGTCTGGCAGCCACTTGTCCTCCTGCTAATAAATATACCCTAATTTTCCTCTGGGGAACCAGCCCCCTTGTCTCACTGAACCATCCTGCCGTGGGTCTTAGTCAGCTGGGGCTGCTCTAACAAAAACCTCACAGACTGGGGGGCTGAGACCACAAACACGGATCCCTCGAAGTTCTGGAAGCTGGAAGCCCAAGATCCAGGCACCATCAGGTCTGGCGTCTGGTGACAGCCTGCTCCTGGTTGGTGGACAGTCACCCTCTCACTGTATCCTCACAAGGGGAGGGGGCGTGGCCCTTTCTGTGTCTCTTTTCATAAGGGTGCTACCTTCTTAGGACGGACCCCCATGACCCAATGACCACCCCCTCCCAAGGCCTCTTCACCAAACAGCATCCCACTGAGGATGAAGGTTTCCATGCATGAATGTCAGGGGGACACACACAGCGCATTGACAACCCACATCTCCAGACTAAGCCAGTCCACAAAAGCTACACTGAAGGCTACACACAAGACCACAAAACCATCCCGATGACTCAGAGGCTTTTCTGCCTCCTACCCCCGCCCCGCCCCCGCCCCGCCCCCGCCCGGTGGAGCAGGCCCATGGGGAGCTTCTGCGGCTGGTCTGCATCCTCAGAAAGGAGCAAGAACGAGAACCAGAGCGGGAGGAAAGGGAACTAGGTCCAAGCCACAGTGTTTCGGCCTCTAAGTCCGGCTGCACCTGGCCTGCCATCAGCCTCGTGTCCTGTTTGGTTTTTCCTCTCCTTCCTAACTGCGGGGGGGAGTAGGGGGAGTGGCCCCCCGGGGTGCCGGGCCTGAGGGACGGAATGAGCGCCAGCAGGCAGCAGAGCACTCACATCTGGGCTCGCACTGGGTCCGAGGCCGGCCACCTCCCGTCAGGAGTCCTGTCACCGGCACCAGCGGCGTCTGTTACCGCCACACCATGCCGTCCTCGAAGAAGCACAAGTTTGGAGGAATTCTCCCAAGAAGATTAAAGCTTTCGGTCTGTGCGCTCGAGGACGACACGTCCGTTAGAAGGGGAACCACCTAGACACCTGTCCACCTGCGCCCGCCGGCTCGCCTCCTCCCGCCTCCGGTCGCCATAGCGCCGCCCCCCGGGGCCCCTCCCGGCCGCCCTCTCCTCGCCTTACGTTCTGAGAACCCAAGGCTGGCGGGCGGGTCCTGAAGGGCCAACGGGCCGGGTTCTGAGGTACAACCGCCCGGTCCTGAAGGGACGACGGGCCGGGTTCTGAGGTACGACGGCCGGTCCTGAAGGGACGACGGGCCGGGTTCTAGGGGGCGGCAGGGGGTCTCTGGGAGGTTCTGGAGGCGTCGGTGGTCTGCGAGACCGCTTGGCTCCCCGCAGCGCGCACAAACCACACCGCACCAGGCGGCCGCAGCGCCTACTCCACGGCGCCCCCGGAAGTGGGTGGGCGCGCGACCCCCGGGCGGGCCCGTGATGCGGGGCGCCTCAGCCAATCGCGTGCGCCCGGCCTTGCGTCACGGCGAGGCCGGCCAATGGGCGCGGGCCTCACGGCCGCTTCCTGCCCGCCCGCTAGCCCTGGCCGCCGGGGGAGGGTCGTCCCGCTAGCCCCGCAGCGGACCAGCGATCGCCGCGACCCCGCCCGCTGGGCACCCTCCCAGGTGAGTGCGGTGGGATGGGCGCCCCGGCCTCTCGGGACAGGTTGGGGCGGCGGAGGGCAGGGGATCCTCTTCTCCCTGCCGCTGAGTTGGTGGGAAGAGGCTGTGCTCGTGCGATTTCCTGCACACCCTGCGGGGCGCCGTCGCCGTCCCTCGGAACGCTCGGTGACGCCCCCGCTCCAGCCTTGGCGCTGGAGTGACTTGGGGAGCGGGTTTTTGGAGCCTGCGGGTTTAGAGGATCGGGCAGCGAGGAGCCCGTTTGTCCCTCCCCTAGGCAGCGGTAGGAGCAAATCTGCTTGGCGGATTAGCACGGGCAGACGGTGAGGGCTGGGCGCTCCCGCTGTGCCTCTGGTGGCCGGGCAGGGGCCCCACCTGTCGCCCAAGTGCACGGAACCGGAATGAAACCAGGCTGACCCGCCGGCGATGATGCGGGGTGGGATGGGGTGGGGTTCATCCCCAGATTGCGGGCTCGGGGCATCTCCTGCCCAGTGCGGCCGGTGGACCCTGCTTCGGGAAGGACTCGACTACCGGGCATGTCCTGCCATTTTCTCCCGCGTCTTTGGACCCTGATGTCGCTTTCCAACAGCCCCCGCAGGTGGCAGACAGTAAGCGACCATCAGAAGTCAGGGCTCTCTGTTTGCTCAAGGGGTGGGAGTGCCAGGGTGTGATAGAAAAACCAACAGGAAACCTTTCAGGAAGGAGCCCTAAGGCAGACTCCGGGGAATAGATGCTCCGGGAGCTCACTTGGTCCCTTGTGTCCCTCCCTCTGCCATGCCCTGGTCCTACTCCCCCCTACCCTTACCTTCTCTTGAGTACTTTTTGGTCTCTGAAGGGATCTGTTAGTAAACCTCTGCAGAAAGGCAGATGGCTCTGACAGTGGTGAACAGGTGACTTCTTCGTGGATTGACTGAAGCTCCAGCAGAAATTCATTGTACAGAAGTTCTCCATGAACCCAGGATTGCTTTCTTGGGAAGCGTTCACCCTAGCTCTACAAAACAAGGAAATCCCAGGATCCCAGAATCATGGGACTTAACGCTCAAACCTCCCTTTTAAGAGTCCTCTGACCTAGTGACCCCAGTGTCCCTGGATTGGTCACCTCACAGCCAGGAAGTGGCATATGGGGAGCTGGGATGGCATCCTGGCAAGAAGAGGGGTGAGGCTGACCTAGAATGTTCACCCCTGTCATCTTTAGCTGAGAAGCGATGGTGCCTTTCTGTCCACTCTGAAGTGAGTTTGCAGACATAACCCCCATCCTGTCCTTTCTCTGCAATTAGCTGCCTGAAAGATTCAATTATGTCTATATGGAAATTAGTGCTTAGTCATTTCTCTGAAGGGAAGTGTACCAAGTAAGCGAAAGTTGCTGTTCATTGAACTCAACCTAGAGATAGCCTGACTTCATTGGTTTCTTGTACGGTGAACTCTGACCTGAGAGATGGCTTTGAAGAGTAGATTTAGGAGCCAATTCCCTTCACCCCCAAATTCTTCCTTTTCCACCTAGCAGCTTATGATATTCAAACACATGGCCAAGTTTAAAGAATTATAAGCCTACCATGTCGCCCAAGTGCATACGCCCACCACTTAAATTCTGCTGTTGATCTTTGTACTTGTTTTATCCCATACCTATCCACCTATCATGACCTTACTTTAAACCTGAAGTCATTGATGTCATTCAGCTTCCCTGGGGCAGTATTTCCATCTGAGCAGTGGATGGAGGCAGTAATGATTATCCGTCCGCTTTGGGTGACCACCCACTATACATGCAGAGTACTGTTAGGTGCTTTGGAAATGAAGAGGCTGAAGACTCAGCCTGAAGAGAAGGATTTGATTTTTTTTCTGTTTTCTAAGGGATGGGAGATCAGCGATAGTTTGTTAAGAGCAGGTGCCAAGTAATAAAACAATCCCAATAACGCGCAGAGTTCTTGCTGCGGACTCAGCATGTTCCTAGGCTCCATACCTGCATTACCTCACTTCATTCTTTTTTTTTTTAAGATTTTATTTATTTATCAGAGATCACAAGTAGGCAGAGAGGCAGGCAGAGAGAGAGGGGGAAGCAGGCTCCCTGCTGAGCAGAGAGCCCGATGCGGGGCTCCATCCCAGGACCTTGGGATCATGACCTGAGCTGAAGGCAGAGGCTTTAACCCTCTGAGCCACCCATGTGCCCCTACCTCACTTCATTCTTACAACTTCATAAGTAGGTCCATATTCTTTTCCGCCTTTAACAAATTAAGAAATCGAGGTGTAGAGAGGTTAGTTGGCGCCAGAAAGGGATGGAGCCCAGACCTAGATGCCAACGGTCCACCATGTAGATGCCGGATGGGGAGAGCAGAGCCCCCAGGCTTGGTCAGACAGGAGCGAACGGGTGTCTTGGGGTCAACACACCAGCTCTTCCATCTGGCTGCAGGTACCGGTTTTCAAATGGCTCCAGAAGGCCGGTGTTGTGACTTCCCGTGTGTTTGACCAGGCCTAGGTGCCAGGCCAGAGAGGTCAGAGTTCTGGGATGTCTCCCAAAGCCTGGCTCCTGTTCCTTCTGCTTCCCTTCTTCCTCGTCCCTTTGTTCCTTCCTCCCCAGCCAGCACTCTTCTTGGTGTTTGTAAGACATGCTTTGTTCCAGAAGAGCCTATGTGCCTGTAGCAGTCCCTCTTGTTCTCCGCCACGTCGCCTCCGTCCTGCTGTCCCAAGCGCCCACAGCCTTGGGTGGGCCGCAGGAGTTGAACAGCCTGGCCCAGCAGCCTTGAGGCACCCGTTCTGCCACTGTCTGTCTCCCAGTAGCTCTTCCCTCCTTCCTGGCCCTGGGGCAGTGTCAGGTAGCGCTTCTCACTGCTCCCCACCCCCAGGCCACTGTCTGTCAGTTCAGCTGTTCTGTTTTGCTGCTGAGATTCTGAACTTGTGGCCCTGCCTTGGTAGGAGGCTTGACTCTACCAGAAGTCAGGCTCCAGGAATCAGGCCCCGGGGGGAGCACCAAGCACAGTCAGCACTGGAGGTGTGGGCGTGGCCAGTGATAGAACTTATCAGCCGCCTTGCCAAGCCCCACAGAGCAGAAAGGAAGAGGACAGAAAAAGGAGCAGGAGTGGAGGATGGCAGGTGGAGAGGGGTAGTGAGGGAGGTGATGACCCAAGGAGGTCGAAGACAGGACCCCCACATCCCTGCCATGTAGCTACAGGGCTCCACAGGACCTGGCCAGGGTGCCAGACCTATATGGGATTGTCACCGTGGGACCAGCGTAAACGAGGGGACTGCTCACTATGGGGCAGAGGCCTCCCAGGAAGGCAGCGATGGGCACAGGACTGAACTAAATCCGCGATGTTTCCTTTATTCTTTTGATAAAAGAGATAGGGAGGAAATGTTACCAAATAGTGATACCCATTAAATTTGGGGAGGTAGGTGCTTGGAACATTACAAATTTTTTTTTCCCTCTGTACATTTTTGTGCATTTGAAAACAATGCCCATGATTAGAGGGAAGGCGAGAACAGAGAAGGAAACGTGCTCCAGACTCTGGACACCGAGAGCTGGCCGCAGACACTTCCCCGCCGGCCTCTTGCCTCTGGCTCTCCCTTGGCTGCCACGGCCATGCCCAGCTCCGTGCTGTGGGCTGTGGATCTCTTCGGGAAGGTGTACACGCTCTCCACGGCTGGACAGTACTGGGAGCTGTGCAAAGACAGCCAGCTGGAGTTCAAGCGTGTCAGCGCCACCACACAGTGCTGCTGGGGCATCGCCTGCGACAACCAGGTCTACGTTTACCTGTGCGCCAGCGACGTTCCCATCCGCCGCCAGGAGGAGGCCTATGAGAATCAGGTGGGGTCACCTGTGCCTGGGCGGGGGGGGCTGCGTTGGGTCGGTTCTCTGGGAAGGAAATCGCCCCGCCCCAGACGTTCATGTCCTTTATTCCACTTGAGGTCCGGGTTGTATGGACACAGAGCCCTCCTTGGGTCTTTATAAAGGCAGGCTGGCCGGGTCCGCACAAGGGTGGTCTGCCAGTGGTTCCCAGGAGCCTAGGGCAGGACCTTGACCTCTACTGCCTGCCATTCAGGGCTCTGTGTCCTGCGGCAGGTTTTCTGTCCTTGGCGGCCGTGCCCAAGTCCTGGCTCTTGGTGACGAGCCTGAGGAGGCTCTGATCCCTGAGCTCTGGGCAGACCCTCTGCCCACTCTCCATCCTGGAGCCCAGCAGGAAGGCCTCCTAGTGGTGGGGTCCCATTCACCCCAGAGAGGTCCCCAGCACCCTGGGCCGGCTGGCTGCAGGCCTCAGGCCTGTCTCGGCTTCCCGGTCCTCAGCGCTGGAACCCCGTGGGCGGTTTCTGTGAGAAGTTCCTGCCAAGCGACCGCTGGCAGTGGAGTGACGTGAGTGGGCTCCAGCACCGGCCGCTGGACGGGGTGGCGCTGCCCTCACGGCATTGGGAGTGGGAGTCGGACTGGTATGTGGATGAGAACTTCGGAGGGGAACCCACCGAGAAAGGGGTAGGTGAATCCGGTTCCCACTGGAGCTCCCTTGTGGGGAAGGGGTGCTCTGGGCTGGAAGCGTCCCCCCATGCTGTCCCTAGCGCCCCAGCTCTGCCAGCACCCTGCATGCCCCCGCTTGCTGCTCGGGGCAGGTGACTCTGGGCGCTTCGGGTGGTACCACTGTCTCCCTGCCTGCCTCGGCTCTGTCCTTCCCCAGGAGCCTTACAGAGCCCCCCTCCACCCCACCCCCCACCCCCGCGTGGTATTTCAGGGGTGGACGTATGCCATCGACTTCCCCGCCACCTACACGAGAGACAAGAAGTGGAATTCTTGCGTGCGGCGGCGCCGATGGATTCGGTATAGGAGATACACGTCCCGAGATGCCTGGGCCAAGGTCTGCGCCAGGGTGGGGCCCCAGGGTGGGGCAGCCATCCCCCTGCTGGGAGGGTCGCCCCAGAGAGCTCGGGAACAGCCAACATCATGGAGGCCTTACACTACAGGACCAGGTTCTGGGATCGGCCCCTTCTAGAGGGGTCACAGCAGTCAGGCCACCGCAAGGCACAGAGCTGAGACCTTGCATGTGTACGTCTGTCTTCCAGGCTGGAGCAGTAGTGACCCCTCGGGGATAGCGTCCCAGGCCTGGTGGCCGACAGAGGGAGGACAGGACAGAGGGGACCCAGGGCCAGGAGCTCTTTGTCCTAATGTTGCCTTCTCTATGAAGTCAGGCAGCTGTGGGCCCAGCTGGAAAATGGAAGGCAGTGTGCTGTGAGGTGGGAGGGAGGGATAGCCTCTCAGGTGTCCACTGGGAGGGAAACAGTGCCATCTACTGGCCAGGTGCCCATAGGAACTGAAGGCCTCTGCCACACACCTCGTTTCAGATCCCTTCGAAGGATGACCCCGAGCAACTGCCTGACCCCTTCAATGACCTCTCTGTGGGGGGGTGGGAAATCACAGACGAGCCTGTGGGCCGCCTGTCCGTGTGGGCTGTGTCTCTTCAGGGAAAGGTAAGGCCCGTGTCCCCCTGTGCCTAGGATGGGAGGTGGCTGAGGGAGGCTGGCCACAGGCAGGCCAGGAGAGACGTCTTCAGGTGTCCTGCCGGAGGAGGAAAAGGGGTGGAGGGCTGCCCTCCTCACCTCCTGTCCTTACAATGGGTACTACCCTGGGCAGGTGAGGCGGCATGTTAGTGGGGTCCCCACAATAACCCCTCCTGTGAATTCTGCTGTCCTGTGGTCCTCCTCCTGCCAGAAGCCTCTGACATCCCACCCCATGCCTGGTCCTGGCCTGTCCCTTCTCTGAGCTCCCAGAGCATTGATGAGTGCTCATCCTGAGCTCAGATGCCATCCACAGTGTCTCCTCAGACAGATTCTAAGATCCCTGCCTATTCCCTCCTTGTGGCTTCCACACAGCAGTCTCCAATGGTATTGTGGATGGGGGAGGGATGTACACATGGCTAGGTGAATGGACAGATGGACAGACGGGTGTTGGATGAGTAAGTGGATGGGTGGCTAGATGGCTGGCTGGATGGGTGAGTCGGTAGATGGCTGGGTGATGGGTAGGTGGGTGGGTGGGTGGATGGGTGAATGGGTAGATGGATGGGCGATGGGTAGATGGCTGGGTGATGCGGGGGGAGGTCAGTGGGTGGGTGGGTGGGTAGATGGACATGTGTGTGGCTGGATGGATATTTAGAGAGGAGAGGAGATTCTTCTGTCAGGGAGTTCATGAACTAAGGAGTAAAGCCAGCCCCTGATGTCAGGAACAACATGGGTGGTCCTGCCTGCTGGTGACTGAACACTTTAGCTGTGGTGTTAGAGCAGATTTCATCTCTCCAGTACATTTGACCACAAATTCATCCAAATCTCTGGTTGGCTTCAGAATAGACATAGTAGGTTTTGATCAGGCTTACCTCTGGGTCCTGTTTGGCGTGGGCTTAGGTCAAGCCATAGTTGTGGGTTTTCTCTGAGCTGTGCTGAGGGATGCTAGGGAGCTGGCCTGGAACAGAGCCTCCATGGAGGGGCTGGGCCCACCCTGGATGCAGAGAGTGGAGAGCAGGGGCGTGAGAGCAGTGTGTGTGGTCATTGCATGCTGGCTGTTGGCCACTGCCGCCCCACGCCACTCCTGGGGACCTTGAGAGGTATGACTAGGGTCCTGGGCTCCAGGGGGAGCTAAAGAGAGGGGACCCCCCCAAACCACCAGAGGGAGGCTGCCCAGGTTCTGTAGTGGGGGCTGTAGGGGTGAGGTGAAGGAAGCCGTGGTGCCCTGTGTGAAGACAGGCTGGGAGGGGGTCCCCCACCCTCCTGCACCAAGGTATAGCCCCCTCCAGATGACACGAGACAGTTTGGACAACATGTTCAAGTGGCTCAGTCTTAATATTTTATTATATTCATTGCTTTCAGGTTAAGGGGGAACAGAAGTGGACGTTTTAAACATTTGTATGAAAGGGGTTCGGGGGGTTTCCCATCTAACCCCCAAGGACACCACTTTCCCTGGAGACGGTGTACTGAGAGTATATCGCCACTAGGGGGCACAGGACACCAAGCTGGGGCCAGAGGTCTCCCTGAGGCCTTAGGTGAACGAGGAAGGGATTCTTGCAAGCTGTTGATCCAAAGGGGTTTGTCTCCCAGGATGGCTGAAATCCAGGGTTGCGTATTTTCAGCAGGGGCGGGGGGCATCTAATCTGGCATGAGGATCCTGAGGGTAGTGAGGGCAGGAAGAGCAAGTCTGGATAGTCAGGGCCCCCTGGCCCTTAAGACTCTACGCCTGGCTCAGGTGTACACTAGCAAACATAGCCAGCCTCGGGCAGCTCTTCTGACCCGGAGCCCTGGCCGGACCCTGTCTGACCCTGCCGTGGGTTTCTTCACCACCCAGGTGTGGTACAGAGAGGACGTCAGCCACCCTAACCCTGAAGGCTCATCGTGGTCCCTCGTGGACACCCCAGGGGAGGCGGTGCAAATCAGCTGTGGGCCCCACGACCTCCTGTGGGTCACGCTCTGGGAGGGGCAGGCCTTGGTCCGGGAAGGAATCAACAGGAACAATCCCAAAGGTGGGCAGCCCTACGCTCCATACAGGGAGAGGCAGGGGACACCCAGCTTCTCCCCAGCGCTCCTGCTGATGGGGGCCGCCTGCTCTTTCTTCTGGGGCTGGGTAGGAAGTTCCTGGTCTGTAGTGGAGCCTCCTGCCTCTGAAAACGGGATCGTACACGTCTCCGTGGGAGTCAGTGTGGTCTGGGCTATCACCAAGGACCGGAAAGTAAGATGGGGTCCCTGGGGGCTTGGGCCAAGGGCTTTGTTTAATTTCTTTACTTCCTTTGTTTCTTATTCTTGAAAAGAATCACTGACCCTTATGGGAATCAGACTTAGGGCTGTGCATTTTTTTTGTTCTTGCAAGTGTGGTCTCAACCGCTATAGGACAAATCCAGGCTAACACTGTCCATTTTCTGGGCTTGAAGGCCTTGGTGAACTCCACCGTATGCCTGCACCCCATACCAAGTGCAGAACAACTCTATTTATCACTCAATAGACAGTGACATTTCAGAGTCAGATGCCAACTTTCTGAAACGCTCCCCTAACTGTATATGTCCCTTTGCTGCTATATATACAGTGCTTGTCATTTTACGTCAACAAAGAAAGTCCAATAAAATAAGCACATTTACGGTTATTTCCATGGTCTCTTTAACCTCATCTCTCGGGCATCCCATAGCATGCCCAGGGGATGGATTCCCCCACACATCTGAGTCTCTGTCCATGCAGAAAGTCCCTGAGCCCACAGTTCAGGTCACCTGAAGCCATCCACCTCCCACAAGTCCATAGCCTCTCTCAGAGCAACGCGTTCAGTGAGCAGATCGTCGTATTTACTTGAGCCATTTGCTCAGTCTTCAACCAAATGTTTGTGCAAACCTTTTTTGGGTCAAGGAGACATTTTAGCAGTCTACAAATTGTTATAAAAGGGATTTGAGGGTTTCTCATTTAACCGGTCACCTCCCTGCAACCTGCCTCAGGAACTGTGGTTAAACACGAGTGCTAAAAATGTGTGATCCTCTCAGTCTCAGAATTGCTGGGGTCTTGCTCACGTGGCCATCCAGAGTGGGTAAGGACAGTTGTGGGGAGCACAGCAGAGGCAGGGGTGGGGGAGTCAGCCATGGGGCCACATGTGGGCTTGAGGGAAATTTGGTTGGATTGTGTGTATTTTTATAAGTCAACATGAAAAAAATGTCAGGACTTTTATCTTTTTTTTTTTAAGTAATCTCTACACATAACACGGGGCTCAAACTCATGACCCCAAGATCAAGAATTGCATGCCCCAGTACCCAGCCAGGTGCCCCTAAAAGAAGGCTTGAAGAGACTATTTCATAAAGCTATTTTCATGTATTTCACATATAAAAAATATCCAGAATAGGTTATTTATGTCATAAGTTTAGAAAAAATGTTGTTTTTTTTTTAAATAATGTCGTTAAGGCCATTATCTTTTTTCTTTTTTTAAGATTTTATCTATTTATTTGACAGACAGAGATCACAAGTAGGCAGAGAGGCAGGCAGAGAGAGAGGGGGAAGCAGGGTCCCCGCTAAGCAGAGAGCCCGATGTGGGACTCAATCCCAGGACCCTGAGATCATGACCTGAGCCGAAGGCAGGCTTAACCCATTGAGCTACCCAGGCGCCCCAAGGCCATTATCTTACATAGAGCCAAGCTTGAGTGGACCAAATGGCATTTTCCAAGCATCAGGCTAGGATGGGGACTGCATAGAGGACCATGGGGGAGAGATGTCACTCGCCAAGCTCACAGGTCAGTGTCTGCACTAGAGATGCAGACATTGTCCAGGAGACATTGCCCACCTCCTGGCTCTATGTGCAGTCAGACAGCTGATAACCTGCTGCTCCTGCCTGATGCCAAGAGGTGCTAAATTGGTAGAACATTCTAGAAAGATTCAGGCAGCCTTGTCTCCTGGAGGGGCAGTGCCCTCTGCCAGAGAAGAGACAGGAAGCCACGAGGATAGGTATGGCTGAGGGCAGGTGACCCTCAGCAGTGTAGGACAGTGCCAAGCCCAGAGGGAGATGCAGCAGGAGTGTAGGGAAGAGGGACCTAGGTCACATCTCCTTTCTCAGTGATATGCTGTGCTCCTTCGTGGCTTGAACCGAAGGACCAAATTATCCATTTGTTCTTCCAGAGCCTTTGAAAACCGTCTTCTGTTTCAGTGACCCTCCATGGGGGCCTGTCGATTTCTGACTTTCCCAGGTGTGGTTCCGAAGAGGTGTCAACTCGCACAATCCCTGTGGCACCAGCTGGATCGAGATGGTCGGAGACATGATGATGGTGAACGTGGGGCTGAACGACCAGGTGTGCACAGGACCCTGAGCCATGGACCCGACCGCCGGGGTCAGCAGCTCACCCCCAGTAAAGGTCTCAGAGTGGGGCCTTGCGCTGCCCCCGCCAGCCAGGCCCCACTCCAGCATGGGGTTGAGGGGGTGCCCCAGCTGCTCCTTGGGCTCCCAGCCTGCAAGGACTGGCTCGTCCCAGGCCCCTCCCCCAGGATGCTCAGCACAGTGGTGGGGAGCTCAGACCGGGGGCACACACCCCGGAGACCCGAAGGGTTTTGTCGAGCATTATTTGGACCAAATCAGCTCAGGAAATAAAGAATGAAACTGATCTTCCCAGTTTTACAGACGTAGCATCTCTTGAACGTCCCCCGTATATTTGTGCAGCGTGGTGGCCTCAGAGATGAGGTTTGGCTGCTTTTCAGACTGCCTGTGGGAAGGTGACTCCTTTCCCAAGGCACTGCCCTAGCTCTTTCTGGGGGTGCTAGCCTTTTTTTGCCCCCACCTTGTCCCCCACCCACCCTAGTTGGCAGGGTGCACAGCAGCCAGGGGTAAGACGGGTGCTGGCCGGTGTGCCAGGGCACTGAGGACGGAGGCCAGCCTGCCACGGCCAAATGAGGGAGACACCGCAGCCCTTCCAGCAAAGCCACCTGGACCGCCCTGGGCAGGCTGTGGCCCTTTAGGCACCCCCCACAGGCCAGGGCCCATCAGCTGCGCAGCACACCTTCCTTCCTTGGCACCCAAAGGCAGAGGGGAGGTTGCCCACCCAGCCACCTTTCTCACAGAAAATGAAGTCAGGATCAAGGAGGCTATCTTGCATCTTTAAAAAGACCCCGACTGTTCTCTGGGTTCCCTTGGGGAGCAGCTTTTTTCCCACTGGAGGCTACACAGGAGATGGGGACACAGGTAGACTCTGTCCCAGCACAGTGCCCAACGGCCCTGCCACCTCCTCTGGGCTCTGTCAGCCCAAAAGGGTCTGCCTGAGGCCGGGGAGCCAGGACAGGGTCCCCGCTTCTCCTGAGCTTGGTGCTGCGCCCTCCCCCAGTCGTCTCCGGTCTCTGTTCCCTGCATCTGACCCGTGCGCTGACCCGTGTCCTGCCGTCCTCAGCCCCCCAAGCTGTAACACTCGTGGGTGCACACACACCCCCACTGCATGTATGGGGGGGATACCTGCCTACATCTGCAGACATGTCCTCCAGCCTTGGGGTGCTCTCCCCCACACCCCCCAAGGGACGCCCAGGGATCCTTCAGGTCTGTGCTAGCCTCTGACCCAGCCGTGCCTCTCTGTGTGCTAGGTTTGGGGCATTGGCTGTGAGGACCGGGCCGTGTACTTCCGCCAGGGTGTCACCCAGAGCGAGCTCAGCGGGAAGACGTGGAAGGCCATCGTCGCCAGCCGAGAGAGTGACCGATCCCACTCTGGTAGCTCTTCAAGTCTCCTCAGGTGATCCCAGGGGCACTAGGGCACAGAGGACACAGGTCGGGAAGGGCCATCGGTGGCCTCAGTGGGCAGCGTCTGGGGAGGCTGCGAGTTGGCCTCGCAGTGGGGCACTGGGCCCTATGAGGTCTCTTCCTCCCTGTGCATGGTGCTGGACCTTGGCCTGAGGGTGGCCTCTGGGAGCAGGCTGGGGGCAGGGAGGAGGTGGCAGGTGGGTGAAGGTGGGATGTCTGTCCATGTTGGAACCGGGGGTTGTCCCTGAACAGCGCTGGCCCACTGGTTCTGAGGTCTCAGGTCTGGGAGAGAAAAGGCTTCTCAGTGAGGAGGATACCAAGTCCCGTCTGTCAAGTGAAAGCAGAGAAGAAGACAGAGGGTCTCTCTAGTCTAGAATAGGGACCTCAAACTTGGCCATGCACTAGAAGCGCCAAGAAGGCTTGTCCCTGCGCCGAAGTCCAGGCCCCAGCCCCAGAGCTGCTCTTTCCGTAGAATTTTGAATTCAGTAGATTTTGCGTTGTTTGCATGGTCCCAGGTGTGCCCACTGGTACAGCTCTGAGGACCACGCCTTGAGAGCCATGTGTATAGAAAGTGTGGATGAGTCCCGGCTCTGCCCACGGGCATGAACGGCAGGCAGATGACTTGGCGTCTCGGTGGGGGGCGGTTGGCAAATGCCTGAGCTCTGTCCCGTGAAAGCCCGCAGTGCTTACCTGCCCAGTCCAGTGGCTCAAGGGCCCTTGGGACAGTGCTCCACAGCAGCATGGCCCCCCCCAGACCCCAGTCCACATCCCTTCGCTCCCCCAGCATGGCAGTTTTCACTCTGTTGCACTGAACGCCCAGGGGGCTGTCCGGGCTGGCCTTTCCTCGTTAACCTGAGGGTTTAGGCTCTCAGCTGGTAGTACTCAGATACTGGAATCAGACGAGAAGCTTCCAAAATTACTGACGCCAAACCTTACTCTTGGCAATGGCTTCTTAAATACGACATCAGAAGCACCGGAAATGAAGGGAAAAATAGAGACATTGGAATCTCATCAAAATTAAAAGCTTTTAGCATCAAAGGACACCATCGGGAAAAGGACAAGACAATCCACAGAATGGGAGGAAATATTTGTGAAACCTGTATTTGACAAGGGTCCAGTACCTAGACTGTATAAAGATCTCTTACAGCTAGCACCAAGAAGACAACTCAGTTTAAAAAGGGCAAAGACAGAGCGACCCCGTGACCCAGCACTCACCCCCCTGGATCTATACCCAGAAGAATGGAAAACCGACGTCTGAACAAAACTTCGTATACGGATGTTTGTAAAGACGTTATGCGCGGTAGGCAAAAACTACAAACAGCTCAGATGTCCGTCTGCAGACGAATAAATAAAGCGTGGCGCATCCGTACAGCAGAATATTCTTTGGCAACGAAAGGAGGTACTGATCCCTGCTACACCGGGGGTGAACCTTGACCTCACCATGCAAAGCAAGCGAAGCCAGTCACAAGAGACGCTGTATTACGCGATGCCATTTATATGCAATGTCCCGAAGAGGCAAATCCATAGGGACACAAAGCAGATTAGTAGGTGGGGAATTGGGGGTGGGTGGGGTGGGTGTGGAGAGCTGCTCCTTAATGGGGACAGGGTTTCCACGTGGGGGTGATGACAAAGTTCTGGAATGAGGTGGTGGTGGTCATTGTGTAACCTCGTGGGTGTGTTTAATGCTGCATCGTTTGAGATGGTAAAATATTATATCACATGTATTATGCCACGTTAAGAAAATAATAATACCACCAGGTTTCCAGCCCCAGATAAATGACATGATCGACCTGGGCTGCGACCTGGGTGTTCCAGCTTCCTGGGAAGTAGCTGTCCCTGTGTGTGTGACACGGCATGGCTGTGAGTTGTCTGGGGTCACAATGGATGAGGCAGGCCTGTCTGCAGCAGCGCGTGTCCTTCCCTCGAGGGGTCACGGGTCTGCCCCTTTTGTCCCCAGTGCTGGCTGCTTCTTTGGTGACGAGGTAAGGGGCAGTGGTGAGTCCTGTGCACCGAGCGACACGGATGCCTCTTTGGAAGCCAACAGACCGGGGCCTGACCAGCCTGTTCCTGCAGAGTCTGTGGACGGTCCCAGGAACTCCAGGGATAGCTCGGCCTCAGGCCCAGGCACTGGCAGGACCACAGAGCATGCCGTGGAGGTCCCTGGCCCTGCCACTCAGACTTCTGGGCCCGAGTCCTGCCCTGGCCTGGCCTCCAGCCCAGCCGAACTGCCCTGGACCAATATTGACCTGAAGGAGCCCAAGAGAGTACCCGGCCACTCGGCTGCTGGCTTCCCAGAGACCACCGGCCTCTCCTCACTGGGGCTCCTCCCACTGGGTTTGGAGGAGCCCTATGGGGCCGATGACCACCCTCTGTGGGCCTGGGTTTCAGGAGGAGGCTGTGCCGTCGAGGCCCACGCTGTACTCAAGTGGTTCACCGTCCAGTCAGGTAAGCGCAGGTGTCTGGGGGCCCAGCACCCCAGAGGGTGCTCCTTGTGGTGGTGGGGAGCAGAGGAAAGAGCCCTGGCCTGCTGCCCATCTGTGGGTGGGCCGGGCACCTTGCCCTGAGGCTCTGCTGGCCTGCAGGCCTGTCCCCGTCGGTGCAGACGCTCTCCTTGTCCATCATGCCGGCCCAGACAGCCGCCTGGCGGAAGCAGATCTTCCAACAGCTCACGGAAAGGACCAAGCGGGAGCTGGAGCACTTCCGGCACTACGAGCAGGCCGTAGAGCAGGTGGGCAGTTCCCGGAGGCACGGGCCTTCAGCTACCACCCACTGAGCGCCTACAGTATACTGTCCCGAAGGGGAGGTGGAAGAGACAGAGACGCGTCCGTTCCTCTGTCCACCCAGCTCGGAGGTGAAGCTGTCCCTTCCAGGCCCTGTAGATTCAGGGATGAAGACATGAGTCTATCCATCCTGAAGAACTCGGGCTCCATCATGCTAGGCACAGCCTCGGCCCTTGGGACCCAGATACCAGCCTCAGTGGGAGGCATGGGGAGGGGAGTGCTGTCCTCCCCTTCCTGCCCGAAGGGACCCCAAGAGCCAAGATGGTGTGGCGTTTGATTGAGATGAGTGAGAACAGGGTTGAGGGCTGGCCTGGAGCCCCTGAGGCGGAGCCCACCTCCTGGACGCCCACGTCAGGTTGGGAGGCCGAAGTTACACTGGAAACATGGCTCCCTGGGCCTTGGCTGCTGGTGCAGAAGTATCTCGGCGGCCCCAAAGTGTTGGGCCTCCAGACACAGGCCAGGTGTGGGCCCCAGCTTTGGCACCGACTTCTTAGGTGACATTGGGTCAGGCACAGACCACCCCCCCCATCCCCATGCCTCAGATTCACCATCTAGAGCATGGGATAGCAGTGCTGAGCCCACAGGTGTTTGAGAATTAGGAGGGTGTGCAGAGACAGCGCCGGCTTGGGGGCCTGGCACCTGTTGGGTTGTGAGTTCCACCTTGGTCACTAGGGGAAGTTAGGGAGCTGGGTGCGCATGGGGCCGGAGTCCAGGGCCCCGCGGGCCTGCCTGTGACTCTGTCCTGTGCTCTTGGGGCCTGTGCCGCAGTCAGTGTGGGTGAAGACGGGGGCCCTGCAGTGGTGGTGTGATTGGAAGCCCCACAAGTGGGTGGACGTCCGCGTGACCCTGGAGCAGTTCACGGGGCTCGACGGGGCTCGGGATAGCATCCTCTTCATCTACTATGTGGTCCACGAGGAGAAGAAGGTGCGTGGGGGGCTCCCAGGGGAGGGGGCCCAGTGCTAGCCCGTGGGGACAGCAGGTGCGGTTGGTGGCCCGCCGGTGCACGGAGGCCCCTGCCGCAGCCTCCACTGGCCTCCTCCTCACAGAGCCGCAGACAGTCGCTGGGCTGTCGGCTCGGGGAGTTAAAGCCCCTCTGCCCTTCCCGCTGGGGTTCAAACCTGGTCAGTTGGGTTCTAAAGTGGTCTTGTCGATGTCAAGAATGTCACTAAGGCACTTGCTCACGAACTAGGTTTCTCTACCGAGCACACTTGGTCCCGGAGCCATCTTGAACCCACAGGCCCCGTGGACCCCTAGGAAGCCAGGACCCCCTGGCTTTCTGGAACCAGGGGGACCCCAGGCCTTCCCTGTCCCTCTACTGCGGCAGGGGCTTTACCCAGAGGCCCTCCGTGCCTCCAGCCCCACAGGTCCCCCTCTGGCCTGGTGACAGCTTGCCCTCCATCCTCTGTAAACAGTACCTCCATGTGTTCCTCAACGAGGTGACAGTGTTGGTCCCTGTGCTCAATGAGACTAAGCACTCCTTCGCCCTCTACACGCCTGAGAGGACCCGGCAGAGGTGGCCTGTGCGCCTGGCTGCTGCCACCGAACAGGACACGAATGACTGGGTGAGTGCACGTGACCAACGGGCCGGGCTCCAAGGGCAGCAGCGGTCCTGGGGCCGCCTGGACTGGGCCTGCTGCCGGCCCCCTTCCCAGCGCTGACCGGCCCTCTCCCCGCACCAGCTTGCCCTGCTCAACCTGTCCTGCTGTGAGAGCCGGAGGGTCCACGGCCGCCCCTCCCCGCAGGCCATCTGGTCCATCACCTGCAAGGGGGACATCTTCGTGAGCGAGCCTAGCCCAGACCTGGAGGCCTCTGAGCACAGGCTGCCCTGCGACCAGATGTGAGTCAGCTGTGCGCTGGACTAGCTCAGGACCCCCAGAGCTTTGCTTCTAGAAGGGATGTTCTAGAAGGTTCCCACAGGAATGGCCGGCTGGTTCCCAGGGCCTGAGTCTTCCCAGGCCTGGTGGAGGACCCTGGGGGGGCCAGAAGCCTGGCAAGGCTCAGGCACATCTCAGCACCCTGAGCAGGTGCTGTGAGTTGGGGGAGGTGGGAGGTGGCTCTGTAGGTGGCAGGGGATAGAACGAGGTCGCCCACAGCAGATGCTGGTGGTGCCGTTCTGGGGCATCTGGTATTCAGGGTGGGAAGGCAGGTAGGGACCCAGGAGGGGACACAATGGTCCCAATTCGACCCAAGGTTTCCCTAGGTCCTCTGAGGCCCCTGAGGATGAGGGGGAACATAGGTGAGACTTGAGGCCCTGGGTGCCCAGCACCCGGATGGACAAGTCAGATGACCTCCGTGGACAGTGGGCAGGACCTGGGCACATGGGAGGGTGACCCTGGTGGCACCCTGCACCTGTCCCCCTGGGAGGCCATGCTATCACCCCGCGGGGTGCTGGCCCAAGTTGTGGTTCATCCAGATGGGACGGCCCTGCCTTCTGCCCCCACGTGCCAGGCCCAGAATCCCAGAGGCTGTGTGGAACGGGCCGCTGGCTCGGCGCCCCCGCCCGCCGACTCTGAGTCTCCTGCACCCACTCTGGGGCCGTGTTAGCTCTGGTCACTACCAGATGGGAAGCCAGGCAGGTGCCATCATCCTTAATAAAGTCCACCATTCAGAGCCCAAAGAGGAGTCAAAGTCGGATGTTCGAGGGAGGCCACAGAGCCGGAAGCAGGTGTAAGGCTGGCACGGTGTACGGCATCTCCGTGACCTCTCTCCGCTCGCTCCAGGTTCTGGCGGCAGGTGGGAGGCCACCTGCGGGTGGTGGAGGCCAACAGCCGGGGTGTGGTGTGGGGCATCGGCTACGACCACACGGCCTGGGTCTACACTGGCGGCTACGGCGGAGGCTGCTTCCAAGGTGAGAACGGCCTGGATGCAGAGGCTGGCAGGACCAGCTCCCCGAGCCCTACCCATAGCCTTCTCAGGCCAGTCCCTCTTCTAATCCTGCCTGGCTTCCCTGCCCCACTCTGGAGCCACTGGCCCAGTGTTGACTCTCAGCTGACAGCAGGCTGACAGGTGACCTTCACCACAGCCAGCCTCCACAGAGGATGGTCCCAGAGCCAACCCTCGAGGTGTGAGAGCCCAGAGACCAGGCCTGGTCTCCAATGCGCCTTCCTGGGCACCCACAGCTGAGCTGGGGGCCTTGCAGGTTCTAGAAAGGCAGCTGCCAGAGCCTCCACTGTGTCCAGCCCCTCATTTCACAGATGATGCCTCAGGGCACATTGGGATAGCCCCACGCCCTGGCTCTCCTGATTCCCAGGCCTGAATTCTAGCCCCTGGGTCATGCCTTCTGGGATGAGACCTTGCTGAACCCCTGTTGGCTCCCTAAGTTCTGGGAAGTAAGGTCCTGTGTCTCCTCCTGGGAAATGCAGGCAGAAACAGACTTTCGAGTGGAATGTTCGAAGCCACAGCCCACATGCCCTACAGTGAGGGACAGCCAGTCCTGGAGAACCAGCTGTGGTCCACTAAGACCATGGGAACTGCACATCTTCCTCATTTCCTCATGAGGCAGGAATTAAGTTTGTCCTCACTTTACAAATGAGGAGACTGGGGCTGGTGGACGTTATGTGAGTGTTAATAAGGAAGGAGCTGGTGGGTCTTCTCATGGAGGGTCTACAACCCCAGAATAATCACACAGCGAGAACCCCAAGCCAGGCCCGTGAACCCCTCTCTCCTGGCCCTCCCCACCTACCCTCTGCGGCCTTCAGGGCTTCGGACGGAAGCCTGAATCCCCAGCCGGCAGCCTCTTCTCCCCCCAGGCCTGGCCAGCAGCACCAGTAACATCTACACTCAGTCGGATGTGAAATGTGTCTACATCTACGAGAACCAGCGCTGGAACCCCGTCACAGGCTACTCCAGCAGGTAAGCAGCTCGGGCGCCGGCTGGGGGCCTGTCCAGCCCAGGCCACCAAGGTCTCGACAGGAACACAAAGGTGGTCTGTGGTGGCCTCACTGTCGGGTCCTCGGGGGGGATCCAGCTCATCTGAGCTCCGCTCCATCTGGGATGGGGAGATCACTCGTGACCTTTCGATGTCACCCTCGCGGCTTGAAGGATTTCCTGGTGTGTAACTATTTGTGGGTTTCTCTGTTCACCCCAGTAAGTCAGGGTTTGAGCTTTGCTGAGGCAGTTAGTACACGGTGCCAAAGTATATCCCAGAGACCTCGACGTGGGTTGTGTGTAGCTCCCCGCTTCCTCCTCAGTCCTTCAGAAGAGGGACAGGGCCGCCACGTGCTCTCTGGTCCCTGCAGAGCATGCACACCAAGGGCCACGGCTCCTGCCACCCGAGCCCCATGGCCACCTGCCCGACACCACCGTGGGGGGCCTGTCGCTCTGTGAGTGTCCAGGTCGGCTGGGCTGCTGTCAGCAAGCACCACACACTGGGCAGACTAAAAGTGGACATTCAAAAAAATAAAAAAAATAAAAAATAAAAAAAAATAAAAGTGGACATTCATTCTCTCCCCGTCCTGGAGGCTGGGGAGCCTGGAATCAAGGTGTGGGCGGGGCCACGTCTGTCCAGGGGCTGTGAGGGACAGTCTGTTCCCAGCCTCTCTCCTGGAGGCCTCAGCTATCCCTTGGTTTGGGGCAATGTCCCTCCTGTCTTCACATCACTTTCTCTTCGAGAAATTTGAACTCAGCAAGGACACTGTCATATTGGTTTAGGGCACACCCTAAGGACCCCATTCTGACTCGATTACCTGCAAAGACCTTTCCAAGTAAGGTCACACTCATGGGTACCGGGGATAGGGCTCCAGCATCTTCTGGGGGCACAGCAACCTGTAAGGGGAAGAGGCAGGCTCTCAGCTCTTGGGTAGGTGGCCTGGCCACAGGTGCCGCCCGGGCTGCCATGTGACGGGAGGTCAGCAGGTTGCTGTCCCCACCCCGGGGCAGTTCTGGTTTTGCCCCTCACCCCCTTGGAGATGCAGGTGTCCTAGGTGCTCATGTCTTGTCCGTCGCCAGCTGGTGCTGGCCGGTCTCCTCTTCCAAGTCACCCCACCACCCTCATTGTCCACCACAGGGGTCTGCCCACGGACCGGTACATGTGGAGTGATGCTTCAGGGCTGCACGAGTGCACCAAGGCTGGCACGAAGCCCCCATCCCTGCAGTGGACCTGGGTGAGCTCCGGGCTGCGGGGCGGGGGCTGGCACTGGGGGCTGCCCCGGCTGACCTTCCTCTCCTCCAGGTTTCTGACTGGTCTGTGGATTTCAGCGTTCCCGGGGGAACAGACCAGGAGGGGTGGCAGTATGCCAGTGACTTCCCTGCGTAAGTGTCTCTCCACTCGAGGAGGGGCCCTCACCTGCCCTGCCGTCCCGGGTTGCTCCGGCCCCTGCCAGTACCCGAGCGCAGCCGAGGAGCAGACCCCTGTACGCCCACCTCGGCTGCCAGCAGGGTTTGGAGCCAGCCCGAGAGATGAGCTCAGGTCAGCACGCCCGCTACACCTAGAGCTCAGCGGCAGGCTTAGGGAGGACAGCCGCGGCTCCCTCAGTGCCCTGCTCTGTCCCTGTTGCCCTGGGGGAGGGTTCTGGGGGGATCTGGGGAGCTTCAGGCCAGGCCCAGGGTGATGGTGTGGGTGGCTGGAGGGAGGTGTCGGGTGAAGAGGCAGCTGGAGTGAGGCCAGCGCTGTCCTGAGAAGCAAAGGGACAGGTGGGTGACAGGTCCACCAAGCCGGGAGGCCCTGGTGGGCAGTAGGCCCTTCATGGTGCACAAGTCATATCCACGTGGAAATCCAGAGCTGTGGGAGCCTGAGCCAGGGTCTCTGAGCAGGCCCAGGCCCAGGGATGAGCCAGGTGTCTGGGACGGGCGAGCCCATAGGCATCCCCTCCAGCCACAGCCAAGCCTCCCCTTGTCTTGGCCTCAGCTCAGCTGTTCCCCAGAAGGGCTCTGATGGGCCCAGTGGTGGGGAGGGCTCAGAGACCCCAGCTAGAACCCCTGGTCTAGCAGCCTCCACATCCTGGCCCCTGGAGACCCTGACCCCAGGGAGACCTGCGCCCCAGAGACCCCGGCCAGGCAGACCTTGTGTCCTGTGATCCCTGCTGCCTGTGGAGCCCGCTCTGGCTCACACGGAGGTTCTGCCCCTAATGAGTGGAAAAAATGTGTGTGCAGACAGGGTCCTTTTCTGGAAACTTCCACAAAGTGGTCTTGATTTCGGCGTCTTTCTCTTGCAGCTCGTATCATGGGTACAAAACCATGAAGGATTTTGTCAGGAGAAGGTGCTGGGCCAGGTAAAGACCAGAGTGACATGGTGACTGGGGCTTGTGGACCTGCCCTTCCTATGGGGCCCTCCTGGGCCAGTCTCCATGGAAGAAAAGCAGAGGGAAAGAGAATCAAAGTAAATGTCAGTGCAGGAAATGCCCTTGGGCTCCCAACGCTCTCTGGTTTCTGAAGTTTGTTTGCAAGAACAAATAAGAGAAATGTCACTGGCAGGCTCCGCTCTGAGCAGGACAGGCAGGTCAGGATGGGAGGCCTGGCTGGGGGTGGGGCAGGGTGCAGCCTCCTCTCCAGACCTCTCATTCCTGCCCATCGGAAAGGGGGCGCCTGCAGAGGCCATGTGGGCCAAAGGGTGGCCTGCTGCCCACCTGCACATCTCTAGCAGGGGGCTTGCCAAAGCATCAGACCCCCCAGGCTCTGCTCTCTTCCACTGTGCAGAAAATGTAAGTTGGTGACCAGTGGGCCCTGGCTGGAGGTGGCCCCTATTGCCCTTGGGGACGTGTCCATCATCCCAGAGAGCCCAGGTGCCAACAGGAGTGGGCACATCGCCCTCTGGGCCGTCAGCGACAAGGGGGACGTGCTGTGTCGCCTGGGCGTGTCGGAGCTCAACCCCGCGGTGAGCACCCTGCCTCCGGGGGCCACTGGGCCCGCCGACCTGTCAGGCCCCGGGCCCTCCTGAGGTTCTGGCAGATTCTTCCCGAAAGAGAACTCTGGACTGCGGTCCAGCTGGGCTCAGGCCTCCCGGGGCCTGCCCAGGACAGTCCCTGGGACCAGTGGACACTAGATGAGGCCTGAGGGGTCACTGGGTTCTGTGGTCAGTTGTTGCTGAGGGTGAGGTTGGTGTGCGGAGCTGCCAGCTCCTGGGACCTTGGGCAGGGGGAGGGGCACAGGCTGGGCCCCAGCAGCCCTCACTGTCCCCCTTGGCTCCCATCCCCAGGGCTCCTCCTGGCTGCACGTGGGCACGGACCAGCCCTTCACTTCCATCTCCATCGGGGGCTGCCATCAGGTGTGGGCCGTGGCCAGGGATGGCTCCGCCTTCTACCGGGGCTCTGTGTCCCCCACACAACCAGCTGGTGAGCGCCGCCCCACCCGGAGGATCTCCGCCGGTCGCAAGTAGGGACAAAGTGGGGCTGTGGCTGGTCAGAGCGAGGCTGCATGTGCCTCTGCTTCCAGCGGGGAAGGAAGACAGGTCTCCTCATGTTCAGTTCAGCTGGACAAGCTTGGAGTGAGTGCTGCCTGTGGACCAGGCCCTGGGGCCGAGTGAGGACACTCCCCAGAGGCCTCACCCCCTCCTGCTGAGACTGAGTCGGGGTGGTCATCCCGGCGACGGGGTGGTCCCTTGCAGCCGCCCTGCACCAGCCCCCGCCTCCAGCCCAGGGTATTGCTGCCTGTGGGCACTTTGCATGTCCTGCCCTTCGGGATGCCCTCTTGAGGTGGCCCCACCTAGCCTACTGCCCACTCAGGGAACCCTCCAGGGCTGCAGGCCACGCTGGCTTGTTCTTGACTGGGTGTCGGATGTCCAGACAGTGTCTGGCACGGGGGCGCTCGGATGGGTGCTGGCTTGCACGGAGCTGCCCTCCGCATGGGGACAGGGGACTTGTGCAGTGGTGATGCCTGGCAGCCCCGAGACAGGCTGTCCACCCCATGCCAAGCTGAGCACCTTGGTGTCCCTGTTCCGAGATCGTGCTGCTGGACCCCACCGTCTCCCGCCATGGCCTCTGAGCGCCCTGGGCGAGGTGGGGTGTTGGGGGGTTGCTCTGCTTGGCTCTCAGCTCCCACTGGGCCCTGTCACATTTGTGTGGCCCAGCTGGCCTGGGAACAGAGCCCGGCCAAACCTGCCTCGAGCCTGCGAGCCGCAGGGGAGGCCACGTGGACCACAAGCACAGGGGGTGGCAGGTGTGGTGTCGCCCTACTGCACCCTAAGTCCCACCTTGTGCCACAGGGGACTGCTGGTACCACATCCCGTCTCCTCCCAAGCAGAGACTGAAGCAGGTGTCCGTGGGGCAGACGGCAGTGTACGCCTTGGACGAAAATGGCAAGTTGTCTCTGAGCCTCAGTGGCCACCAGGGGAGACGAGGGCTTCCCTGGGCACCCCAGTGGGACGAGACCCTCGCCAGCCCCAGGGCCCCGACACAAAAACTTTGTAAGCCACCATGAGAGGCCGTCAGCCTCGGAACCAGTCCCTGTCCCAAGCTGTGCCGGGCGGCGGGGATGCCAGCTCGGCCTGGGGCCTGCAGCATGGGAGCCCCCCGGGCAGCGTGGGACTGGCAGAGGTCACCTGCCCGTGCCTCAGGGCTGTCGCCAGTTCCCTTTCTTCCTTTGCAGCTGTCGTCACCACGAGCAAAGCAAGGAAAAGGGTAGAGTTGGGCCTGGAACCAGGGCTTTGAGTCCAGACCCTGTTCTCTGTATCTGTCTAAAGAATTCCTTGTCCTCCGTTTCTCATGCGTAGAGAGAGCCTGACGCCGCCAGCCCAGCACAGCGGGACGATTATGAGGCTCAGGCCGAGTCCAGTGTGGGGAGGGTAGAATTGGCCCCGGCCCTGGCTTCTCTCTCTTCCTGGGCTGGTAGGAGCCCCAGGAAGTGTGGGGATAGCTTCCGTTGTCTCCGTAGCCACACTCTGGGCCCTTCTCTCTCCAGGGAATCTGTGGTATCGCCAAGGAGTGACGCCCAGCTACCCGCAGGGCTCCAGCTGGGAGCACGTGTCCAACAACGTGTGCCGAGTATCCGTGGGGCCCTTGGACCAGGTCTGGGTGCTCAGGGTTGGGGGGCCGGGGGCCGAAGGTGGACGCTTGCTCTGGGGGCTTGGGGTGCTCGGGGTTCCTGCTCTGGTCTCCCTGCGCCGTGCCCGCAGTCCCACTGGAGATGGGGGCTGGACCCTCACTGGGTCTGTGTTTCAGGTCTGGATTATCGCCAACAAGGTCCCGGGGAGCCATAGCATGAGCCGTGGAACTGTGTGCCACCGCACAGGCGTGCAGCCTCGAGAGCCCATGGGACAGGGCTGGGACTACGGCATTGGGGTGAGCAAGGCCTATGTGGGGTGGCTTACCTGACCTGGGGTGGCATGGTCACACTGCATGCTATGGGACCTGCTGTCAGGGTGGGTGGGAGGCCCCAGACAGAGCCCATCAGGGGTCCTTGATCTCCCACAGCCATGGGTGACGAGGCGCTCTCCTTCCAGGGGGGCTGGGATCACATCACCATCCGGGCCAATGCCACCAGAGCCCTCAGGAGCAGGTCCCAGGAGACAACCACTGACTGGAGTGGGGAGCCGGGCCTTCCCAGCACGCCCTCGAGGGTGGCTGGAGCCCCACACGAGGCCCGTGGCCCTGTCTGCTGCTGAGGCCACCTCCCCCCTCACCTGAAGCAGGTTTCATGCAGGTGTTAAGGATCAAGGTGGATACGTGAGCCTTCCTGTCTGAGCCATTCTTGAATGTGGATCCTGGAGGGAACCTGGCGGGAGGTCCCGGCCACCTCAGAGGCACTGGCTGAACCAGCTCAGAAATGTGAAGCTTTGTGGGTGCTCCTGCACGGGTCCCTGTCTGCAAGGAGGGCCACGGAGTGGGCTGGGGGCCACTTCACTCCAGCCTTTCCCACCTATCCGTCCCCACTCTGCCTCCCGCCTTTCAAGAAAGGGAACCTAGAGCCCCCCAGGAATGCTGCTCTGGGGAATCAAGCCCATGAAACCCCAGGGCCCAGACCCCGCCTACCTCCCGACGAAAATGGCTGTGGGGCTCACTCAGGGCCGCTTCGCCCTGTTCTGGGATGATTTTTCAGAGCCAGATGCGGAAATACGGTTTAATTTCAAAAGTTAAGAGTTGGCAGCTTGGAAGGAAAGGCTGGGGAGGGGTGTCTTTCTCCTGGGTGGGCACAAGCCCTTGGCGGTCCTGGCAGAAGCTGTCCGTGCAGAACTTGCTGACATCTGCCCCCAGCCAACCGTCCCCCCCGCCGTGGGATTGGGGGCTGCTCCCTCTGTGATCAGCCAGGAGGGGCTGTGGGGACATGGGGTGTGCCGGCCGCAGCCCCAAGCCCTACACGCCAGGGCAGGAGCCCGCCCCACCCGGGACCGGTAGGAAAGCACCTCCCATCCTGCAGCTTCTCTTTCTTTTTTTTTTTTTTTTTAAGATTTTACTTTTAAGTGATCTCTCCATCCAGCATGGGGCTCGAACCTACAACCCCGAGATCAAGAGTCGCAGGCAGTACCAGCTGAGCCAGCCAGGCGCCCCTTCTCTGCTGCTGCTTATGTGATGACGGCCCCATCTGGGGAAGCCTCAAATGTGCTTCCTGCAACCAGACACGTTGCCTGGAAGCCATCAGAGCCCAAGCTGGCCTCTGCTCATTTGGGGACAAAAACGGACAGACTCCAGCCTTCCCCGGAACTCCCATCAGGAGGGGTCAGATGTGCCTTTGATCCCGTCTTGCAGGGTGGGGCTCGTCAGCAGAGGCTAACTAGAAGGAGGTTTCCTGTGGGGTCCCCTCCTGCACCGGAGGGGGCTGACGGTCTCTGCGTTTGCCGGGAATGATGGAGGTGCGACCGGGAGGTGTGAGTGCGGGTTGGGGACGCCGTCCTGGGTGTTCACACCTGTCAGGTGGTCTCCGGGTGGGCACTGCGGGTTTCTTCTGTAGCAGCGATCTGTCATCCTGTGGTGACTTGCTGTCCGTAGCTGGGTGGCTGTGTCCTCGCTGCTGAGCACTCACCATCTACCTGCTCAGCATCACCGAACCGTTTTGTTTCCTTGGCTGCTTTATTCAATAAAATCTCACAGTGGAGCGTAAAGGACATGCTATTTTTTTATTGCTACCTTGTGAAAACACACAGTTCCCCACAGTAGCAGTCGTGGTAGAATCTTTATTTTTGTTTTATGAGACAGCATTCGTTTCATTAGTACTCTGAAGGGACCATTAGGAGAAATCAAAGCAAATTTGGGTCACTTAAGAAACATTTTTACCACAATTACAGCAGGGGCACTGGCCGTTCAGTTCCAGGTAGGTTTTCCCACACAGAAAGGTCACAGTTCTGGCTCCTCAGCTCCAGTCCGTGGGGATCTCGGCCTCCAGAGCTCACACAGGTCTGGTCCACAGGTGGGTGCGGGCCCGGTGACAGGGCTTGGGGCCAGTGGGTGGCTGGCTTTGGGCTTCCTTGCGGGGCAGATGTGCCCAAGACAAGGACCAAGGGAGCAGACCCAGCAGCAGGCCTCACTGGCCCATCACCAGACCCTCTCCCTCCCCCCCCCCCATTTAACACCCCAAAGCTCGACTGGGACCTTTAAGCATCCTCTGTGATATGGCCACAGGGTATGCAGACGCCCTCTGGCCACGAGGGGGAAGAAGGACCGGACATCTGGGCCCAGGTCACCCTCTGGAAAGCAAAGTGGATGCAGGTGCCAGTTTGGGACAGAAGGAGCTCTGAAAGCTGTCACCTGCAAGGTGGGGACCCACAGACCCTCCCACCACCCCTGGTCGTCAGGCAGTCTCCCGGACAGAGCCTCTGCTGGGTGCCCCTCCCGCTGCTTTCAGCTCAGTTTGTGGGTTCCTTCAGCAAGTTCGGGGGGTACACTGAGCTCTGTGGGCCTTGTGTTGCATCCCAGCTGGCCGGGCCACGCACAGGGAGCGTGAGCCCCATCAGTCCAGAGCTCCAAGCGGCCCTCAACCTCGGCTCCCATCAGCAGAATGTCCTGAACACCGACCTTTCCAAGGGGCCGCCTCGAGGGGCAGGCCAGGAGCACCTGGGGGGGCCCCCACCTGACCGTGCTGAAGGATGGCTAGGACCAGACCACGCCTCCCGGGGCCGCCTTCCAAAGGGCCCAGCATGGGGCCTGGGGAGGGTCCAGCCAGCGTTGGACCCGGAAAGTGAGGACCAACGTGGCTAATGGCTGCTCTGAGGGCTGCCGCGTGCTGTCCTTGATACTGATGCCAGGCCTGGCAGGGGATGAAGCAGTTGGGGCCGGGACCCCTGGGGCTGGGAGGGCGACAGCCCTGTGGCAGCCCTGCTTCCATGTTGCTTGGCCCCCACCCAGGAGGGGGGCTTGGTCCCCGGGGGCTTCGGGGACAGCTCTGGCCTCATATGCCAGGCCAACTTGACCCTCGCCGCAGCCTCTGTCACTGCCGTTCCTGCCTGAGGCTGCCAAGCTTGTCCTGTCCCCTCCCCATACTGACTGTGGGCACAGGGATGAGGGAGGAGAGATGCCAGGGGGTGTTGAGAGCAAAGTCGCCAAGCCTGTCGCTACAGAAGGAAGCTTGGCCTGAGGCGGCCAGGGACCTGCCAAACTGCCCAGGCCCGCCTTGAAGGAGCAGCACCAGGCTGGGGAGGGGAGCTCCTGCCACCCCAGGCTCCTTCCCACAGAGAGCCCTGCAGGGAACCCCAACTCTAAGCAGGGCCCAAGAACACCCTGAATTTCTGTCAGACCGCCCTCTGCCACTGACATGACCCCAGCAGTGACCAGTATGATAGCAAGCAGCAAACCTGAGTGGGACACGGAGGTGGGCTGCTCAGGGGAGGCAGTGCCTCCCAGCCTCCCTCCCAGACCTGTCCCCAGCCCCACAGTGCCAGGCCGCGTGCCCCTCCACAGTCAGGAGCCCCCACCCAGCAGGAGCGAGGACAAGGTCCCAACCGCTCTCCCTGCCAAGGTCCCTTTAGAATTAATTTGAAGTAAGCGGATTAGTATTTCTAGGGGTTTTGGGGTTTCTACCTGACACACGCTGAATTACACGAGTCAGTCATCTTGGCTTAGCCACACTCTGTGGCCGAGGGCTTTGCTTGCTCAGTGCCTCAGTTTACCCCGAATGAGGAGGCTATATTGGAGGTTGGAGGAGGACCCTTCCAGAGCCTGGGCCTCTGCAGGAACTGGGGAAACTTACCAAAACTGACCTTTTCCTGGAATCTCCCCATGCCTCAGGAGGGAGTTGGGAGTGAAGAAAATTTAGTTACAAAGGCCTGTCCACTGTGGCCCTAGTCAATTAAAAAGCAGGTCCTGGGACCTCTGCGGAGGTTTGGGCTTTATGCTTCCCGGAGCCATGGCCCAGACCAGGCCGCTCACTGGTCTCGTCCCCTGAAGGCCAGGACGTGCTCCACACAGGCAGCTGAGTGTTCAGGGAAATGGAGCCACTGGGGCCACGTCCACATGGGCTGTCACCACCAATCTGGGGCTCTTGGCATGGAGGCAGCAGGGCTGGGGGGAGCGGGCCTGGCCACTGCCCCCCAGGCCAGGTGCTAGGAGCCCTCTCGGAAGCTGTGGATCTGTGTGGAGTACCTGTGCAGGTGGCCCTCGGGCTGGGGCTCCGTGGCCCCCAGGGTGCCCCCAGCTGCCTGCTGCTGCTGATAGTGCTGGTAGAGCTTGGGGCCCGGCCCATCCAGGCCCGGGAGGCGACCACTGGACATAGTCAGGATGGTAGAGGTCAGTGACTTGATGTAGTTCTTGGCCAGAGTGAGCGTCTCGATCTTGGAGAGCTTCTTGTCGGCCCGCACGTGCGGGATGACCTCCCGCAGTGCCTGGAAGGCGTTGTTCAGCTTGTGCATGCGCTGCCGCTCACGCTCGTTGCTCTCCAGCCGCCGCTGGATGCTGCTCTCTCGCCGGCCACCAGCTCCGGAGGGCCCCGGCCGCCGGCGCCCGGCCTCAGCCCGCGCCCCCTGTGCCCGCGCCGTCCTGCTCCGCAGACCCTTGGCCAGCTCCGGCCCTGACCCCTGCTGGGGCCTGTCCGGGGACCGTTCCCCTGCAGTGGCCTCTGTGTCCTGCGATGGCACCCGGCGCCTGGGGGGCCGGTTCTTGGTCTTCATGGCTCCAGGCTGGTTGTCCCCACAGGTGGTAGCTCTGAGGGAGGCCCTTGGAACTGAAATCCAGAACACAGGCCACTGTGTGGTCACATGGCAGGCTGGTGGACGCTTAGGACGCCCAACAGACTCTCGGGGCAGCCATGCCCGGCGGCCCCCTCACTGTCCAGTGGCAGCTGACCACGTGGTGCACAGTGACCCCAGGCCCCTTCCCCCTCACACATGGAGCCCTCACCCCAAGCCCCTCGCCATTCCCGTTTGACCTCACAGCGACCCCCCACACTTCTCTTTGACCTGGTGTCCACTCTTGACTCCACATGCGCTGATCCCGGGCCCATTCTCTGGCCCCTGCCCCTCATTGCCCCCTGGGCTTAGGTGGCCTTCAGCACTTTTCTCAGACCACCCAGAGACGTGGCAGGACTCCAGCTCAGGGAGGAGGTCTGCCAGAGGTTGCTGTGCCTCCCCTGCGCCTAATCGACAGGTGCCCACTCCAGCCACCTCACTGACCGGCTGACCGTTGGATGTCACACATGCAGGGAAGACATTGGGGCCACAACCGCTGAGGACATGGGGCAGCTGTCCGCGGTCAGAGATCGACAGTGGCCAGAGCCTGACACAGCCCCCAGTCCCACTACGTGGACGGCCCACCCCCACCTACGTTTCCGCCCCCCCCCACGCTGACCCCACCAGGTTCCGCCCCTCGGTCCTCGCCCCTCGGCCCCACCGGGATCCCCCACCCCCAGTTACCTGGAGATCCGCAGCCGCACGCGCCGGGGCTGCCCACGGGGGACAAGGACACGTCGCTTTAGCCGCCCCGGGCGGGGCCGCGGCCGCATGTAAATGAGCCCGCGGGGCGGGGCCGGGGCGGGGCCGGTGTGCGCGTCTCCCTGCCCGGCGGCGGGGCGGGGCGGGGCGGGGCGGGGGCGCACCTGCGGGCGGTGGGAGGGGGGCCCGGCGGCGCCCCTGCACTCCAGGCGACCGCCGCCTGCCCGCCGCGCGGAGCCCCGGCCTGGAGCCCATTCGGCGGAGTGGGAGACTGAGGCGTCTGCGAGCCCGCGGGCGCGGAGGGAAGCCCCGGGACCGCGCCCGGCCGCTGCACCTGGCCTTGAGGTGAAGGCTGGCATCGCCAGCCGAAGCCCGGAGAGTTGGCGGAAAAGCCATTTTGCAATAACAATGCTTTCTCAAAGGGGCAGCAGCCTTTGAAGCTCCGGGGGCTTCCCGAGCCTCCCCCCCACCGCCGACGGAGGACTGCCAGCACTCCGCAGGGCGCAGGTCCAGGGGCGAGTGGGCGGAGCCCTGCCCCGCGGAGCGCCTGCTCGGCGGCTGAACGCGGGTCACGGGGACATACGTGGTGGTCATCGGTCTCACGAGGTCTCCAGCGGGGCGAGAGGTGCACTCAGCTTGGGCTCAAACCCGCCTTCCATCCACCTGCTTTACTTAATCGCCGGCCCGCCTACCTCGGTTTCCTTACCCTTCAAAGGAGCGTGAAAAGTTGTTTAAAGCAGCCTCTGGCTCAGAGGTTTTTCCAGGCTGATGGGACACACCTGCAGGGCCTTGAGGTCCCGCGGGGGCCTGGCCCCCCGCCCCTATTGACCAGCAGAATCAGGGTCAACGCTGATCTGGCACTTCTTAGAGGGGCTCACAGGGGTGCTCCTGGTCTCCATCTAGCCCTTAAGGGTCTCAGGGGAGTTAGTGTGATGGAAGAAGTCAGGGGCCAGGCCTGCTTGGTAGGAGGCTGTTACTGTCCGCTGCTGGCGGCTGGGGCAGGGGAGGGAGGGCCACAGAGGCACAGAAAGGCTGGTGCTGAGCTGAGTAGCCTCTTGGCTCACAGCTTGGTACAGGTTGTGTATCAGAAATTAAAGTGCCTCTTTCTGAAACTCATCAGTAAAGGCTTCCAATTACAGATGCACTTTGAGGAAGCACAAGCATATTTGCAAGTTCCATTTTCCAGTGATTATGCAGACTTTTGCCTCCTAGGGAGTGTGGGGGATGTAGGCCATGGAAAAGGGCACACTTTCTCCAGGGACCGGGGCAGTGAATGACCCAGGGCCACTGGCTGCTACTGCCCAGGACAGGGCAGTGCCAGGTCACCCACCCTGGGCCTCATAAAGCAGGGGGAAAACCCAGGGAAGAAACGCAGCAACAGGGTTTATAAATATATAACTATATTTATTTTGAATATTAAATAGTTTTTAAATTACAAGCAATTTATTGAATCACACTATGCATCAATATACAGTAAAAATCTTACAATTTAAAAATGTACACAATTTAAACTGAAAGTTCATTAGCAGTGATATTGCCATGAACCTCTCACAACTGTGTCAAGCACAACAGGGAAGCCGCGTGGGTGTGACTGCCCCCATGGGTCCTCACTTGGAGAAGGGATTCAACAGTGGAGGCACGCACGGCCCATTGGTAAGGTCTGTCTGCACTTGTGTGAGCCCGAACAACCTAGGTCAAGCCATTCAGGTAACAGGTTGTTGGTAATTCAATACTGTCTACACATCTTTCAGAATTTATCTGTGTACTGAAGAGGAGTTTCTTTGTTAATAGCCAAAACCGGAGCCAACCCCGCTATTAGGAATATCGTTTATGAGACTGCAGTCTGAGGTCACGGAGTTACCCATTCTTATTTTAAGGCTACTTCTCATAAGGCTACTCTTCTGAAGCACCCATCACCGAAGCCCAATGTTTGGAGACTAACACTGGGTTCACTTCCGGAACTGTCGAACGATGGGCTGAGTAGGGTAAAACCAGAAGCTGCCTCCCTTGTGCCCCAGGCCCTCAGGACAGACATGCAGTAAGTCACTGACCCTACAGGTACCCTATGGAAACTATGAATACCAGGGAGAGGTTTTGAAAGGCGTTTTATGGCAGCAAGACATACAAAGACTTTTCTAAGATAAAATCCATTTCATTAGAAACAATCACCTGTACATTTAAAAATAGAACGAATGCTCTGTTTTCAATTCAGCTTTGTGGAGCTGCTTCACCCTTAAGATGAATGGCTTCTTACCCAGATGCACAGTCCAAGTTCCAGAAGGATTTGGGGAGCACTTTATCATTTTTTTTACATTTCTTTTTCTGGCTTATGACAGGATCATTCGATAACACAAATTAACATCTAGCTAAGAAGGAAATGAAGGTCAGATTATTTTTATTATAGGATTTAAAATATGTAAACTCCACCAGAGTAGCACTAATTAAAACCTGATAGATTCCAAAGGCAGCCAGGAAATACCACTGTGAACCAGGTAGTATCCATCTCACCAATATTATCTGGAGAATGACACTGATTCATTTCATTGCATAACTTTTTAGAACAAGTTCCGTGTGAAAACCCACTGTTGGTAACCAACGTAGTAAAAAACAAAAACAAACAAACAAACAAAAAACCAAAAAAAAACAAAAAACACAAAACACAAAAAACCTGACTTGAACAACAAAGCACATGCTGACACCTCAAAGATGGGCTGAAAATTCTAATCTACATAATTGGTTTCCCATGTATTGCTTGAGATTTCAAAAGAACTTGTTGACTCACGTGTTTATTATAAATATAAAATCTTCCCCACCATGCAACACCACAGTAAGATTTACTACTCCAACCCACCCCCCCCAACTCAATGTATAAAATGCTTTCTTTTGGCAATTATTCATGACAGTAAGATAGACCTAAAATAAATTAAAATGGGAATTAGGTTGTTAAAATCTCCTTAATCATAGTGAAAAAGGTATAGCCCCTGAATAGCAATAAATTTATCCCGGGCTGATTATACAAGAAGACTATATATTCTATGGATCTGCTTGACTTTAGTCATTAAATCTGAACTTGTTATAGTTTGAAAAAACTTGTATTAATTATCACCTCTCCTGTAGCTCTCAACAAAGACCGATGGATGTAAAAATTCAGGAAATTCAAGAAGTCTTCATAGCAAGAAATTCAGAGTTATGATAGTTTTGGCAAAATCACCTTCTAACGCCCTATTAACTTTTTCTTGTTCAGTCTGCACATCCCAAGACCCCACTCTCCTGGCTGTGTTCCCCACTCACACCAAGTGGAGGGTAAAGGAGGCTCTTTCTCCATTCTGAGTTCTTGCTCTGGAAAGTTATTGCTAATATAAAATGTTAGTGGAGTGAACAATAAAGGTCATAATTCACTTTGTAAACTCTAGCCAATATACACTTGCATCTCACGCTAGGACCAGCATCGCTGGGATTTCTATCACGCAGCCCCAGTGGACCTGTGTTACACTGGAGTTGGGGAAGCAAATCAGCACCGGAAAACATTTGGGGTGAAGGCCAGCGTGTGGTGGACACAGATCCGATGCCCGACCCCGATATACACGGCTTCATGGCGAACATGCCAACCCTCCTTCAGCACACGCTGCTCTAGCCCCTGGAAACTTCCTGATGTCAAGGCAGAACTCAGACTGCAGAATGAGGTCAGCTTTTTATCGTGAACACCCCATTATTCCTGGCAACATTAGGAGGCAACGCTGGACACACTCGGTCCCTTTCAAGGCAAGGGGAGAACATGGTGCTTAATGTGGAAGGGAAGGGTCAGTGCAGGTGAGTCCCAGGGCTGCGTCTGGGTGGGACAGCCACGTGTGGCTGCCCAGGGTTCCAAGCAGGAGGACGTGCTGGCTGCGCAGGCTCTGCCACTGTCCCTCGTCCCTCCTCCCGGCCACGGGATGTAGTGTATCTACTCGGTTATGGAGCCCAGCTGCAGCCGGCCATGACACAGAGTAGTTCTTCCAGGAAAATTCACCTCCGGACGTTATTTGAAAGCTCAACTCTAGTGTGCACGAACAGCATGAACTCAGACTGTCCTCGGCAAGCAGAGCCCCGTGTGGGCAGCTTCCTCTTCAGAGTTCGGCACCGTCTGTAGGAAGGAGCTACAAGGACACCAAAGCCACAGCTGCCTGTGTTTCCAAACACCAAGCAGAAGAGCCGGCCTGGGGGGCAAGTGGCACAGGGGCCACAGCAGAGCGCGGCACAGAGGGAGGGCCTGCGGCTCCCCAGAGAGGGGGCAGGACA